GGCTGCGGATTAGTACATAGTGGCTCTGGTGTGTGATCGAACCCTCGGAGGATCCATCATCTAAGTCCTCGGGCTCTTCAAAATGAGTTCCATAAATTGTTCTGCAACGTTCGACCGATGGAGCCTACGAATGGAGGAGCACATATTTGTTCGGTCAAGCCGAGTAAGGTTTGCTGCAGCGATGGCTCCCGAAGACGTTTGGAAATGATGAAAGCGTGCGAGGTCCCATACACAATGCGCTCCTTCGGGAAACTGACAGGTTTCAATTAGTCCAAATAGCGCTTTCTCGCGATGGCTGTCGAGGAAGTTCCGAAGCCCGGCTGACTGCCTCGTCGTCATAATGAAGATTCTGTAGCCCGAGAATTTTCTCACGGACACCAACAATCCGAAATCATTACTAGACTATAACTAGGCAAAATTTCCCATCCCACTGGCTTCTAACTAACGGTAGCCGCGAACTGTCGGTGAGAGCAGCTCACGGTGAGCTGGACGCTCGGCTTTACCATTTCATCACTATGGGTACGAATTCGGAAGCCGTGGAAGAAGCCGCGCAAATCCATCAGAATATATCGCCGTTATTTGGATAGTTTCATGCTTCAACGGTCAACGGATGCCCCTTCGGTCATTCGGTAACGAAGTACCATTACGGAACAGCTCCGATGGAAAGCACTCGGTCACTTATTAGTGTATCGAATCGTTCGCTTCTTTTGGGGCTTTTCAGCTCGACAGGATTTCTAGTGATGATGGGCCTCACCTGGATTCTTCCGACAGCTCATCGTTTATTCGGCACCCCTGTGCTGCTGACCGACCAGATATAAGGACAAACTGACAAGCGAGATACACGGATTGACGAAGTGCTTCTACGCGGATCGGCGGGCGTTCGATCACTCGGGAGGCAAGAGAAAACGAGAACTGCAGACATGACCAGGCTCTCCGTCCCCGACAGCCTAGCCTCTCGTGCTGGAGGGAAGCCTTGAGACCCCGGACGGACCCTGCAGAAATGATGGGTCTCAGGAAAACTTCTCATAATTGACGTCTTTGACGCCTCCGATATCTTGAGCACAAAATGTTCGGCCGGAGTTGTTTATGAGGTTTGATGATTGGCGGAACAGTAAGGGATCAGGACCTGAGAGAAGATTTGATGCTTACTTACATACTCGACTGTCTTCCCTGGATCCCCGCCCGGCCCCTCCGCAGCGGACGCATCAGACAGCGGACGCATCAGACGCGAGAAATACTGATTTGGGAGCTCTTATTATCTCGAAACAGGCGCTGAATTTTGGTTCGGTGGGCTATATCTCCCCAAATGACGTTCATATTTTGGCATCGGATTTCCTCACGGACTTGTTGGTTAATTTGACCAAATGAGAAACAGCCATCATCATCAGCAGCCGCTGTGGTTTTGGTGGTAACAACGACCAGGGCGGCGGCGGCAGCGGCGGCTCGTCCATACGGTTTCGGGTCGTCGCGAAGCTGCTGAGAAGACGGTATCATAATTCTCAGGACGCAGGGCGCGGTTGTGTTTGAACACGCACACAGCGCGGCTCAGCTCTGGGCAACATTTGTCGTGCGATCGATTCCGCTCACTGGTTGTCGAATAATCGAATATTAGGCATTTATCAAATAATAACAAGTGATGGCTATGCAATGCGAAATCGCTGGAATTGACTCCGACTGAATCCGATCGGTCACACGAGTAAATATTAGCGGCATATCTAGCTGCATACAATAGAAAAGAAATCGTTAAAAGAGCCTCCTTGAAGGCTATCTCGGTTCGCGCGCTTGTATCGGGACCCAACTACTGCGCCGAAAGCGACTCCCGATCCTGTGAAGTCACTCGACAAATGAATCGCTCGCAATATTGGCTAGCGATGATGACGATATGTTGGTACAAGACTTTATGGATCAAGAGGCAGACGAAGCGACGTGTGCGCATCGATCGATTGTGGTGTTGATTCCTTGGCGATTCGCTGGTGGCAAGGCAAAGTGAGGCCGGCATATTTGTGAGACGCGATGACGACAAGGACTGCGGCAGCAATGACGGGACGGACGAGAGCTGCTTCGCTTGTGGCCTGTAGAAGCCATGGCTGCGGGATCCAGGTGGAGCCACTCCCACTCCGTATTGTGCTTTTGGTGGTATTCGCACGGATACGTATTTCGCGTGTCGAGGCACGAGAGTCGGTTACGGCATTTTCCAGATGTATTCTCGATTATGAGTGATTAGAACGGAATAGCTATGGTAGGTATCACTTACCTCCGTCGATTCTTCCCCGAAAAGAGCTGGAGTCGATCGCGCGTTCCACTCAACTCAGGTCAACTGTTGGAAACATTTCGACATTGGTAGTCGAGAGTAGGAATTCAGGATCTGAGAGTCGGGAAAATACCGTTCGGAATCGGCTTCCGAGCCCTTTCGGAGACTTGGATCATAGTGCTCGGGGTGCATGGATTTCCTTTCGCTCGTAGAAAGCAGAAGTGAGCGCGCGCCGCGCTAGGGATAAGCTCCGCGCTCATCTAAAATCGCTCGCCTGCATTCTCAATAACGCCCGTCGACTGAAGCGCGTGGCGCGTTTTCTATATTGATCATCATACGTCAGGTGTCTTCGCTTGTGGATAAATTTCCGTCGCTGCGGACGAAAACGAACTGGACCACCGATTACCATACCGGGGACGCAGCGAGCGGAAAAAACGTGAAAGCTTTAATTGTATTAGGCCGTATCGAATCTCAAGGTGCAGATAAACATCCTCAACCCGTCGCACGTGAAATATTCCGATGTTTTCTACTGAAGGATTCGGATTAATCAAGGATTTTCCGATCGATCCTGTGTGAGAGGAGGGCGCTTCATGGATCACGAACCTCGAAAAACGCGGTGACGCCAATTCTCAGCTATAATTAATCGTCTCGCCCGCGACTGCGGAATTGTCACCCTGGCCAAAGCTGAGGCGTAATGGCACTTCACCTTGACGCTCCGCTATCATATGGTCAATGATCACCGATTGAGGTCTCTGGGCGACCTTTATTCTGTGGGACTGTTCTTCGGCTAAGCGTGCTAAGAGCGGCCCCCCATCTCACTGTCACACGCATCGCCTCCTGAAAAGATTGTAACGTCAGAGTTGCGTCGCGCGACGAACAGAATGACTTTTAGCATTGATGAACAGACTGACACTTAGTGATTTCACAGCAGCTACCTACCCCCTGACTCCGCGGATGCAATCCGCTTTTGCGGGCGCATGCCAATGAGCTCTGATTTCTTTCCACCAATCTGTGAAATTATTGAGGCGGAGAACAAACTCGAGAGGTCAGTTTCCCCTCCGGCGAGTTGCCTCATCCTCTACGAATATTGGGGCGAAACCGCTCGATGCAATTGAGTTTTGCTGCTGGGAGTCTTTCTCCGGGGGCTCGGAATCCGCGATGAGCGTTCATTCACTAATCAGCGACTTGGCTGTAGCGGACCCAATAACGAACTGTCATATATAGCAGAATGATTTCTAGGCCCCGGTCCTGGTCCTATCACCTCCCATGCTCATCGAATCGGTCAGAACGGACCTATCCTTGCGGGATGGAGATTCGGGTGTGAGAGCCCATTGGACGATTTGCGAGGTTTCCCGCACGCCGTAAGGAAGGCTGCAGCAGTCTTACCGATTATTTTCACGTTCTACTCCGACTTCAAACGGACTTCGGACATAACGGACCGACTGGTCCGTCATAACGAGGTTCTACTCTCCATATATCATCTCTCGATCCACGGAAGCTCCTGAGCGAATACAACTCGGGCGCAGCAGTCCAGAGCATCACAACGTAGGAAATGGAGAATCATCACATTTCAGGCCATGTGATTCGAACACGTATTAAAAGCGATTAAAATCGGGGCTCCGACGTTCTAGAGCTGCAAAAGCGTGTTGAGCGATACCGACGATGGCGAGCGACCCCCGCAGCTCGGGCACGAATATGATGAGATGACTCCGGGGATCATACTCATATCGGTTCCAGCCGTATCCGTCCATACCCGAATTGTGAATTCAAGCGCTTTGTCCATGCTTCTTTTCCCGTGTCGCTTGGCAGAACGCAGTGTAACCGGCATCACGGTACGTCACAAAGCAATCAGGTGCCCACCCCGGTTCCGAGCAGCCTAACGACGCTTGACGACCTCAAAATTGACTCGGCTTCATAACGCTCGAAAAATTTCATTACAGAAACTAAATGGCTGTCAGTGATTGACTAAGCTAAGTGAAGGAGTTAATAGGTCGCCATCGGTTTTGCGTAAGGGAAGATTGACAAGGCTGATCCTTCGTATGCGATAAAAATTGCGTCAACACGGAATCTCGTAATATCAAGTGAATTCTGCTCGGAAAAAAATCGAATTGTCTTAGGGGAAATTGTTGCTAGAAAATAAGTGCCGCCCTGAATGCTAGATGCCGCCCCTGAGAATCTAGCTGCTGAACGTAATCGACGTATGCTTGAATACGGCGTGATAGCCTTCACATACGGGTAAACCGATGGGAAAACTTGGAATCGATGTTGCGTTGCTCGAAATCGCTCAACGGGAAAATTTCCGATGAAACTACGAATTTACATGAAGGTCAGAAGGGCTCGGGTCAGCCGGAGCTGACGGAGCCCCAGAAATCAATCGAATTGGAAATGATTACATATCATCTAGAGCATCGTGACTGCTCCTCCCGATCATGTCTGACACAACCTTCGTTTGCGAAGGTTCTTATCATGATCCTTGCTTTCCATCTCATCAGAAGAACACAATAAGCCTAGAAATAGGAAAGCCTTCGAGGAATTCCATCGGAATCTCCGAGCCGATCGAGTCATTCAGGGAGAGACTTGAGTTTTTCCCATTGCAAGTTCCGCTCGTTTGCTAAGCATCCACCATACCACGGCAATTTCAAAAGTCTTCGCGGCCGACCGTCACGTAACCGAAAAAAGTAGCACTCGCGCTAGGACCCTTGCCGTGGGGGAGAGGAAGCGTTATTTAAGCCTGCACACACTGACATGGGGCAGTGTTGTCGTTTGTGTCTTGTGTTTTCACGTTTTTGGATACATCAGGCTACATTACCACCACCATGAATGCGGTAAGGATTTCGACAGAGATCGCGAGCCTCTCGTAGAGGACAGTGTGGTGCGGAAGACGGTGTTTTCTGTGCGCAGTGGATATATGAAAAAATGTCTGACGGGGGTAGTTCTTGCCTGCTACCAAGATAATTTGCGTATCTCGGATTATCGATGGAGGTTTTCCCTCGGAAGTCACAACATCTGAGAGATGGGCCAAGAAAGAATAATCCCGCATCTCGACTCTGACGGCGCTGAGGCAACGATCTCCAGGCAGACACGCCTGGATTGAAGGTTCCCTGCGATTAGGGTTGAAGCCAGAATCGACTCTGATCATATATTCGGGACCCGCTCCCGAGTTGGAGGAAGGAACGCTCTTTTTGAAAAGACGTGTCTCTCGTTCTAGTATATCGCCGTTCTGGCCCTCGTGGCCGTGTGCGTGTCTGCCGGATACCACGGAGGTCATCTCCACGCGTCCATCGTTTCGCCCGGAGGACATCATGCTCACGCGGATACACACTATGTAAAGGTCCCTATCGTGAGCCATAAGATCGTCAAGCAGCCCGTGATCACCTACGTCTCGAAAGCTGTACCCGTCCTCAAAGTCGGTGTGAAACCCGTGCACACAATTACATCTATCCGCGAAGAGCCTCTGCTCGTCTTCAACAACCCGATTCCCTCCCTCGTCACCGGACCCGGCATTTCGCTCCTTGGAGGTAAACCAGCTAGAGTCCAGTTTAGGGTGGTTCGAGGGATTCGAGGGGAGCAGTCCCGAGCGCACAGCCCAGCCCTTGAGGCCTCGTTGTACATCCAGACTTGTCAAAGTCAATTACTTCGAGTCCGAGGTGTATCCTGTGAATATATATATGAGTGTATATAAATTTTATTCGCTTACAGGGTACGGAGGGCACTACGGCCTTGGCGGAGGCCACGGAGGCCACGGCTGGTGGTAAAAGGAAGCTCGTGTGTGACGTAAACTAAACGTATTTATCCCGTTGTTGTGAAGGTGAATGATTTTGCATATCTGCACGTTGGTACGGAGCGTAAGGACTACTACATACGTACACGCAACTAATTCTGTAATTGGCGGATTCTTCGTTGCGAACCCGGAATCAAGGAAACAAAGTCTCGGGTTTAGCGATTCATGTAGCTCAAAATTGATGAGTCGATTGTTGACGACCGTCGCCGGTGCGCGACTCTTGTACATTGTGAGATTCCGTGACCGTATGTAATAAATTGTGTAAATAAGTTATGCCAGGACAGTTACTCGGCCAAGGCCGTGAATTCCCTCGGACCAGACTGGTTGCCCGATTCATGCATCGAAAAATTGGTCTCGGACCCTTTCTGCTCGGGACATCTTGAAACTCATCCCGGAGTTAGAACGACCCTCTCTGCTCCCAAACCCTCTCCTCAGGGCAGCTCAGCACTCCTCGGAGATTTTCCGGGATGCACCCGACGTTCGGTTCTCCTCGGCGCGCCAGCTGAGCTCGATTCGCTAATCGCCATTGCATTCAATGGCATCCACCCGGGAAAGGAAGTTCATGGGGCCGGAAATGGCTCGCTGAAGAAAACCGGCAAAACTCTTCCATTGCGATCGGAAAAGGCAAACGGAGGCATCTTGGAGAAGATTCCAGAACTCGTCAGCTCCACTTATGCAGCCAATGTGATCCGTATCGCTGCGAATCGATTGCTCCCGTTCCTTACGGACCATGAAAGCCTCCCGATGGCGTCGATCGACTGGATGTCGGTGTCTAAAAGTTTGCAGGACCGCCGTGTTTTGCAGAACTGTCGTTCCGTCGGAGCAGTCAGGCAGACGCGTAACTGTGGCTCAAAAAAAACTCGGAAAGACGCGTTTTTAGTCGGCGGATTAGGAGTCTTTGTTTTCCCCGCGTAGAGCTTGAAAATGTTGCGTCACACAAGCGCTGCTATTTCGCCCCGAGCACTTTCTTTTCGGATTCAAGAAAGACGTCGCCAAGCGGAGCGAAACCAAACTGGAAACCCGGCCGAAAACTAGAATCATATCCACGATGGACCCAGCAAGCAGAAAATCGAATGACAATGTGTGATAAACTCCACCAAAATCGATAGATTTCGGGCTCGGAGCGGATGATAACGGGACAACAAACCCATCCGTATGAATAGGAGGTCCCGGAGCTTCCTGTTGCGAAGTCGACGAGAAAGAGTCGCGCGGAACCCTGAGGATTCTCCCCGAGGCAGCTCTTCCGATATCGTATCGATGCAATCGAATATGAGCGCGTGAAATGATCCTCTCATCTCGGATAATCACAGCGCTACTGAGCCTTCTATTTCAGCAATCGTATATTCACCTGAGAATAGCGAGTGCGGAACGATGAGTCTGAATATCCGAGAGGAGGTGTGTTGAAGCACCAGATGATCCGTACACGATGAGTATGCTGAATAGGAAGGTAAGTGACGTCAGTCGGAGCTCGATTATATAACCTGATCCGTGTAAATGATCGAGCATCCGTGTTGGTCGTGCGATCGAGCAGGTGACACAATCGAGTTTTCGTAGACTTCCATGGAAGTCCGTTCTCTCGCCCCCTTGACTTTTGATATTTGGGAGCATTTTTTTGATCCATTCGATCAGCGATACAGGTGATACATACATATACTGGGGGATTTCTGAAGGAGAGAGGAAGGTCGAGGACGGAAGTATCGTAGGAGAAGATTCTGATTTTGCCTGTCTACATATATTACGAGGATTCTAACCTAATCCATTTCGGCCTGGATTCCACCTTCATTCTCAAACCTCTACGGAATCGTCCAAGATGAAGTTCTTCGTGCACGAGGCACGCAGAAGCGTTATCTTATTCTATCAAGTTCACGAGCATATGATCGAGTTCTCGTGACCTTGGGGTGATCCGATCGAATTTAAAGCAAGTCGTGGTAATATCACAGAGTTCTCGAACTGATCGAGTGAAAAAATCGAGAGAGTGATTTAGCTAATCTAGTAAGGAGAAGTCGTGGGTGATATGAGAGGTAGATACTCGAAGTCTTTGAAGTCTTCGATCTGATCTTCAAGCTTCTCAGAAGTCCGTTGTGAACTCGACTGTGGAAAGCCCGTGAAGATTATCCAGATAGATCAAAAAGTCTAGCAACGTTCCGAAATCATCACACATTCGAGGTCTATTATTATCATGATGTGCGAACTGCATCAATGAAGGCTGACAGTATGATGACCTGGAGTAGGAACATCACTGATTCAGGCTTTCCGTCACCCAAGTTCACTAGAAATCGTTGTGCGGAAGGAAGGCTACAGTGCGTCACTCATCGACGGGGTCTCAAACGTGAGATCCCACGGGAGCGGGATGCCCGGTATGCTTCCCTCGACGAATTTTTCAGACAATGAGAACTCAAAGCATAGGGATGAGACCCTTCTTAGCGCCGGGATTCTTTCCCTCAATGATCTCGAAATTCCAGGCCGCCGGCGGGGCTGGTCTTTCCGACTCATTATAGGGTCAAATTGGCTTCCGCGTGCGATTTTGTGGGATCTTCGACACAGGAACCGTCAGTTTTCCAGATGGTATGCGGGCTGTCAAAAACCATTACGTCCTGAAGGCACGCATTCCTGGTCGGAGCTGCTGTGATGTGCTATAGAGGTAAGCGACTTTCAACGCTTGCCTAACGCCATGTGGATTCCATCGAGAAAAAACACTCGATGAGTCATCTGATAATTAATCAATCATACTTTTTGATCTCCTACTCTTTCTGCAGACTTGGGACCACATTATCCAAAGTTCGACTGCTTGTCGCGTTGGAGGAGGCCGAGGACTTAGCGATCCCATCGTAGAATGTTGGTTCCAATGTCTCAAATCAGATATACATATATACATATGTATACATACATATATGCATTTTTTCCATGGGGATCGATCAGTCACCTGCTGACTGAGGAATCTGGCCCGCCATTATTCTCACGAGCAGGCGCGTATCCAGGATTTTTTTTGGGGGCGGGCACACGATGACTGCGGCCGTGAAAACTTGGGAATTGGTTCCAGAAGGCGACAGAGGTAGTATGAAACGAACATTTTTGGGAGGGGGATGGGCCTCCGAAGCTCCCCCCTCCCCTGAATACGCGCCTGCTCACGAGAGAACTTCTGGTGTGGACGACAGTCCACGAATATAACTTCCACAACGGGAGTCTTGCTAGCTTCACAGCAGGCCTCGTTCCAGTCACCGTGTCTTGGCCTATAAGGTACAGCGAGCATCCAAGCTCGAGGTCACTCGTTTCTGTCGGATGGACTCCCAAGCCTAGGCGCGAAAACTTGGGGTTCGCCTGATGACAAGTCTTTGGAGCCTCCTCGAGCCGGACTGTCAAGGATCGGGGCCTGAAAACTCCGACGAACAAAGGCGCTCGAAGAATTCCCTCCCGGGTATCCATATGGAATGGCTTGCGTGGTCAGAGATTTTCTCGGTCGAGCGGCGTTGCTCCGCAGCAAGGGATCACTTGGGTAAGCTCATGAATGACGCCGACGTGGCCTCCCACGATTTGGCGCGCGATTCCGCAAGAGAAAACTCAGGCTCGCCACTCTCGACGACCCGCCGGCGCAAAGAGGAGAAGGTCCCTGCGACGATGCAAGGGCAACAGTGTGAGTTCCGATTGGAAGCCGTCAGTGACGCTTTCGAGTTTCCTGCCGCGGAATCGATGCGATGCTTGATCGGACTTCATGCGACCTGTCTGCTGCCCTGAGGATTGGTTGAGGGGCATCTGTTTCAAGAATCGATGAGTGTCTATATAGACAAAAGGGTTCCGGGTTACCTTGTCAATCGCTTGTCAGGGCTCGACTACCAACCTTTGCCTGACTGTGGATCAAAGTTCTCACCTGCTAGGAGCTCGTTCGCGTCACGGAGAGTGAAACTGGATCTCCTGCCGGCAGCCTTCGATGGCTCAGTCAGACCGCAGAGTACCAAGTTCTAGTCCCGCTATGCGAGGTTCGAGATGGAGATTCGACGAGGGGATCAGCCGCTTCGGGCCGGTGACTATCCAGCTATAACCAGGGAGCAACATTTTTTCTCAAATAAGAAAAACACGGCTATATAGCAATTCTCATACAATAAACGATAATTTTACTCGACGGAACCCCGAACACTCGCATCTTCGAGTGACCTGTGAGACCCGTAAAAGTAGATCTTTGCTATCGCGACCTTTCTAAGTCTTCCTTCCTGCTCCGGTCGAATGCGGGTATAGAGAATCGACCATTGGACTCTCACGTACAAGCCGTTCGTAGGTTTGCTCGCTGCCGTTCCCTCTCATTCCCTGCACATTCACATGAAATCTTACCGGATTCCCGGACATTGTCCCGAACATAAATCGAGAGAGGAACATCGAGTCATTGATCGCGGAATAAGTGCCGATTTTCACCATCCCAACAACGATAATTCCGATCGAACCGAGACCGATGGCTGATCTGCGCTGGTTCCACGGAGCCTCATTGAGCACGGACAGTCACACGCCGTATGCCCGCATTCGGAAGCCGACCTATGACATGTCGGCATGTAATTCCTCAGCGCCAATCGCTGGACCCGGACTTTGTCCTTCTCCCGGCGGTGGGTCCTCGAGGAAGCCAATGAGGAGATTGCGAGCAGCTCATCGTTGAATTCTGAGCAATAGCTTTTCGCTCGACTACCGATTCCCGGGCCCGAAGTCGAGCACTTGTGTGACCGAGCCGGGTCCAGAAATATTGTCGAAGGTATTCTCTCCTGTACAAAAGCATCAGTCCGTCTGGAAGCAAAAGACCGGCACTGAGCACGTGGGTTCACGAAACAAAGATCTTCCTCCATCTCCAACTTTACAACTCCCGGCAGCGTATTATAAAACGTTGAGCGGTCATCAGGAATCCACTGTCAGGATTTGAGCCATCCTTTCGGGGTCACTCCGCAAGGCGCTCCGAGTTTCACTCGATGGAGGAGCCTCGGGCAACGTCGTTCTGTGTACGCATGTGGCTGATCACAGCCACGATAGCAATCTGTTTGATTTGCACTTGCTTCGTGATGGTCAAGGCCCCCGAAACGAAAGTGGAAGTCTCATCGACCGACATGCTGCTACTCGACGGAGTTTCTGGGCTCTGGTGCCAGGGACAGGAGCTCGTTTCAACGCACAAATTCAACGTTTACCGTTTCAACGATCCCGAGCAATCGAACACCACTAAGACGAGGACAGAAATCGATAACGTCCTCGTGAGACTTCACATTGGACCTAGGAAATATCAATATCTCCGATATTTTCTCCTCTCGGGCTCCTCCGTGTCCGTGGTGGCAGAGTCCGACCGCCGGCATCGGGCGAACGGGACCGTGAACGTCGTGAAGGGAAAAGACGAAATGAATCGATGCCTCAAAGATCTCGACGAGCACGCCAACGCGAACGATACGGATAGCGAGGAAGATCTGAACTTCGCGCCGGTCGGTCACAGGCGTTACAAGTACCTTCGGTGGGCTCTAAAAACTCGTCTCTTCACGGGCCAATCGAGAGGGAGTTTGGAAGTGACGGCCTCCGAAGACGATCACTTCCATCTCATAATTGTGAACGACAGCAACGAGACCGACTTATCGGTGACACTCAGAGTGAGCCTCACGAGAATTCGTTTCCTCGTCGACGGCGACGACATCGTGTGCAACAAAGTGAAGCATTGCCTTCATCATGTGGGCTTCGGTACCGATGTACGGCTCGTACTGGATATACCTCGGGAGCCGGACGCGGGCCGGAGCATGTTCGTTGTAAGAAGTGTTTGCCGACCGAGAGTTTTCTTCTACGCCCTCCTGTTCATCCTGATCCCCATCATCATGCTCCTCATTACCGGCTTGGTCATCAAGGCGTACAGCACGCTCCTGACGCTGCCGCTGCATAACCGACACGACATCCGATCGAGAATCGCTAGGAGAATCCAAACTCAGCTCAGCGTGGAAACTGGACCTTCACCGGCGGCGCCCCGAATCGTTCAGCATGCCCCGCCTCGAGAATACATGCAGGTGCTCTATCACATTCCCAACGATCAAGGTTTGATGGACCGCACCCCGACGCCCGGGACTCCGCCCCCGAGCTACGCGTCGCTCGAAAAATCGAGGAAACTCACCCCGCCCATCTGTTGCGATAAATGTCTCGACCGATTCGAGGACGAAAAGCCCTTGATGCCACCGCCGCCGACGTACAGAGAATAGCCACGATTAATGAGATCGTCCGCTCGCTGTGTAGCGCGGAGTTTGTATATAGAAGCAGAATGTTAGGTAGATATGTCTGTGAACTACTTGTATATACATACATGAAGGGAACCTCGCGAAATGCATAAAGTTTATTTATTGAGGGACCGCATTCGTACTCGATTGAAATCTATCGCATTGTTCGGCATTGGCTAACTGAGCAGTTAAGCATGCAGCGTAATTGGGCGGATTACCTGTCTGACCGTGAAGTTCCAGTAGCTCTGGTTTTGCTTCTGCAAAATGTCGCTATCGTAATCGCTGAAGTGTGGCGACATTGGATGAAAGAGAGAGATACATACGCAGATCCGACATCGCCACCGATGCCCGGGGTAGGGTGCCGCGGGAGGTCGTCTCTAACGTCCGTGGTATCTAATTATTCGGAAATGACTCGCCAAAAAATAAAGAGGAGGTCTGAGACAAGCCATCGCCTCATAGGAATCTACGAATTTTCTCACGATTTTCATCCTCCCTGAATCTCAAGGAAGAGAGGCCAGGGATGGTTTCCCCATCCGGGGCAAGACTAATTTTCAATCTGTATCGATTTGTTCCCATCGATGCTCTCGCCATGAATCGGTGAAAGAACAGGTCTGTTAGGGAGACACAAATCTGTGTCACCCTGGATCAAAGCCGAAACAAAGCGGCAATGGTCTATGAGTAACTGACGCTTGTGGAATAATGTGATGCGGGAATTCGGTGCTCATGTGACTTGCTCGACGACGCCGACGTTGACGCAAAGTGTTCCGATGATTCCCTGCGGAGTTTGCGGGAGCTACGCTTTGGGACGTGAAGCCAACTTTGATTTGCGGGGAGACAACATGGGTGAGTTGAACAACGTCGGTCTCCATGCCCCGGGAGAATCGGCTTTTCCGTGGATTCCACCTCCGCGAAGGTCACGATTCTCTCGACCCGGCTCAGGTTCCGCTCGACCCCTCGACGCGTGCCATGTGACTGGGCTTTCATGCTCGCGCATTCACCCATCTCCCGACTTCTATAAAACTCATCCCGTCCGCCTCGCTTTGCAGCTTCGAATAAGGTTGTGTGCTCAACCCTTGTTTTGAGCCTCTTAGCGGTAGCCGCGATCGTAGCTCTTTCGATCACGGTCGCAGTTTACAACAAAAAGATACTGGACTTCATGGATCGTCACGAGAGTGAATGGTACAATTTGAGTACAACCGAAACAAGCACAAAGTTCTGGGAGCTCGGCAATATGACAGGTAAGGCGAACTCTCTATATTTAAACGCAGCAAAGGGAAACCATGAAAACTGAATTGATATAAATTATTCGATCGTCTCAGACTTCTTGAACGGAACGCTCGTCATCGACCAGGTCAACTCGACCTCCATCGCTAACGGCACGCGACAGCAGGGCCCCATACGAATAAACAACTTCCGGCCCTCTGCAAACGCTGAGGACAGCTCGAGGAACTCCGGGAGGGGAACATGGTCAGGCGAGAGGCCGTTATCGTCGAACAGCCGCGAAGGTGCGTCAGCTCTTCCTTGAGAATTATCTCCGGGGAATAAGACGGTGCGCCCCGTCTAATTTCCCGAACCGCAGATCCAATGCTCTCCAATAGTGTAAGTGTGTCGCCTGATTGTGACATCTATTGTCTGTTCAGGGATCGGGGCTACGAACGTGCCAAAAACTTTCATTGCAGATTCCGAAGAGCCTTCTGCGAATGAGATTCGCACTGCGAGAATGCGGACGAAGCGGGTCGATACCGATGATCGTAGCTGAGGTCTCCATCCACAGACCTGACTCTCAAGGAGTTTTTCTCGAGCCCTTGAGAAATACACGGGGAATCCTGACACTTTCCAATAAAATGTTGTAGCCCCGCTATTCTGACTCGAATTCGAGCAAGGCAATTTTTATTAAACAATCGAGTTCTCGCTGCTTCTTGTTCTCCGAAGAGTAAGGATACCCGACATACTAGCATAAAAACAGAGAACTCGGATGGTTTTTACATCGAATACTTTTATATCACGTTATCGGTATGTGACTTCCTATCACAAGTAGTTTGGCACCTCTCTCTGTGACTTTGAAGTGCATTTTTTGTTTGCTTGAATCGTTGATTGGGTTAATATTCGATAATTCGATTACGCCGTGTACCTCCTTCGAGTACCCTGTGCTCAGAGGGAAGACATCTACCCACATCGTACTCATCGACTTCAGGAACTTCGAGAGTCGTTCACTCTCAGGATCATCCGCTTTCAAACCGATGACGAGCATGGATTTCACCTTGGCTTTGATTTCGAATACGCGACGGAGAACCTCGTTACATGACGATATGTCAAGTAGAGGCAGTAGATCGTCGAATATGACGAGATTCCGATCGGAGTCGATTTCCACGTCAGGGACTGTGAGTGCTTCCCCTCTAGCCGCTTGGGCCCGCCAGGAAGTGACCTGACAGGTGATTTTGAGATCTCCTTTCTCAAGCGATTGACGGAACGGGAGGCCCGCTCGTTGGCAAACCAGCGAGAAAAATTGCGAGCTCTCTCCACAGCAAATCAGATGAACCTGTAGCAAAGAAGTTGTTTTAGGCCGAGTTGATTTTCTCTCTCCTCTGACGGAATGAGCTATCGACCCCGTTTTCCAAACCGAGGGAAATCCTCCTAAAAGACTCATACTCACAGTCTGTTGTTTTTTCAATGCGTTGCCCAACATGTGGGATAGGACAAAGTTGTGACTGCACGATCCCCTCGAGCTCACGAAGAGCACGTCATTCCCAGAGCCACTCGCCAGAAATTTGTTGAATTCGAGAAACATAGTCTTGCAATCATGGGTTTTCAGACATCTCTTGATCAGGTTATCGGAGATCCAGCTGGAGGGAGGGAGGATAAGAAGTTTCACACGAGATACGGCGGTTAGCGAGCATCAGCTGATCAGCTCACCCACAAGCAGAAGAATATTATCAATTATCACAAACCGAGCACAAGTTACTCACGGATGTGACAGCGTCACTCAGCGCCGACTCTGGGCGTGATGAATATCGCGAACAAATCTCAATCGAGGACAGCCTATCGGGGCATCTATTAGCGCTCAACCTGCTGGAATCCTTCTCCCGAAACTCCGGCTGTTCGTTTAGAGCACGATGTCACAGGCCGATCGGCGGGCCCGGCAGCAGGCGGCTCGCTGCTCGTTCCTGTTCCAGCCGCATCGACAAACTGTTTGTTGATACCAAAGTTCTACATCCGACGATCCGATGTCTGTCTGCCGACGAATGGCCCGGAATTTGACACATTTCGAAGGAGTATTCCGATAATGAGGCCGTAGTCAGCTATACAGCAAATGGCCGGCCAGAGTTGTCGTGTGTACTCGGCTCAATCTGTGCGTTGAGGTCCTGGGATCGCGGAAGAGGCGTTTCTGACGACTTTGGAACATGAAACTATGACGGACTGAATTCGAGATGGGACCCACGACCCAGGTAAGTCTGTGACACCTACGATAGGAGCGCGGGAAGCGTTGTATCTCTGGGAGCTCTGGGATTCGAATCATCTTCTCGGGGAGAAACCGCCGACCAATTTTGTACGGGAATTCTGTGAGCCGGAAAGGCTCTCCAGCTGACGGATCTGAAGTTTCGATCCTCGCATCTCCTCGACTGTTTGTCCGCAAACGCGAGCAAACTGTTGATTACATCACTTGGAAGTGAAGCAGGAGCAATTCTATCTGGCATAGCCCGTTCCGATGCGGATGTCCTTGATGTCAATCGTCATAAAAAGACGACATGCATGACACAGAGGGTCGCCCGAGCGGGAGCCAAAACTGGGGAAGTAGACTGCTCAATGATTTCTGCAAATTGTTCGCGGAGTTGATGATTCTTTTCCATCGACTTCTATGCCAGGGAGTACTGAGTGCCGCAGTTCTTTGGGGAGTCGTGTCTACGAAATACTGATCGAAAGTGGATGCTCCGGAATCGTGACAGAAACGTTTGAGTCTCATTGCTGACCACATCAGAGACATCCGATTCTCGTGTTTGGTATCTTTGATGAAACAATGTAGTCTGCGGGACAGTCAAGACAAAATACCCAAGCTTGCACTCAGTGCTGAGCGAGCTGTCGACAGCGGACCCACCATGTTGTATTTGTGGCATTGTAATAATTCGGATCCGAATATCGACGGGGACCGAATGATGAATTTTCTCCCGCGATCGATATCAACACAAACTTCAAAGATATTGCAGCGAAGTGATATTTCCAGAATGCGAAGAACAATGGCGAAGCCTCAGGTAGCGCCGCGGGAGGTTCGCTGCCTCGAGCGGCTGTCAAAAAGCCAACGAAAGAAGCTGTCAGTAGCCATCCAACTTGCCAGGCGAACGCACCGCGGGTCGAAGTACTCAGGACCTATGGAAACGTCTTCCTGGAGTACACCCTGATGAATGAATAGTACGTACCGGATGCCTCAATCCCTCAGTCGGGGATCATCGATACTCGATACCGGGGGGATTCCCCATGTGAAGACTACTGAGCACTTCATATGTTCCAATGCTTGAGATGAATATTCGCTTCTCAAGGAATTTTTCTGAAGCAACCAAGTCATGTTTCGACTGAGCCTTCTCGATTATCTGAGTCTTGACTATCCACAGCGCAATTTTCCGGAAGAAATTCCTACCTGGGGTTTACATTATGCCGTCTTTCGATTCCGCCCTGAGTGAGTGTATTTTTTTTTCGCTTGATTTCCTCATACTCCCCTGCATCCTGCATTCCGTTTGCTCATCGGATCATACTCCGAGTTAACATGAGATTTTTTCACACAGAATGGTTTTGTGTGATCTTCATACGAACTGGAATTTATGAAGGTGGAGCGTTTCGTCTCCTACTGGAAATGTCGCCTCTTTATCCGGAAGGAGGGGTTCCGAGGGTCATATTCGACCCTCCGGTATTCCATCCCTTGATACACGCTATCACAGGCGAAATGGATGTATCTTGTAAAATCGCTAAATGGAGGCAAGTTTTCGACAGCTTCCCTCTGGATTCATTCAATAACCAGAGTACCTTCGCTCGTCTTCTTATACGGCATCCTATCGACGATTGAAAATATCTGGTTCTCAAGCGTGGGGGCTAAGAAAAATGCTCCGCGGAGCGGCATCTCATGCTGCGTTTGATTTCAGGAGGGAAGAAAATCATATTTACCAAGTTGTGGAAGCTGTGAAGAGTTTATTCGAAAAAATCCCAGAAGATTCGAAAGCCGCCAACAGAGAAGCATCTAAGCTGCATAAGAATAATCCCGAAGAATTCAAAAGGTGAGAGAGAGGGGAGAAGGCTCCAGGAGACTACGCTGCTTCGCTTTTCGCTCGGTCACGTCGAGAATCATGAGAACATCAGAAAATTGCATTTTCGGTCTCGCTCCGTTAGCGTCCGCTGTGGGAGGCGAGTAAATCTTTTCTGTGAATCCCTCGACTCAGAGCGGTGACACTCACCGGCTCGATCCCGTGATGAATAATACTTCCGGTTCGAATACTCGAGGTCGACCGAGTTCACCCATCCGGCTATCAGCCGTCAAATCCTCCAAATCAGGGTGACCATGAACGATCTCTACCCTCTCGATTCTTTTTGACATTAGAGGAGTGGGATCCCGACCGATCCCTACCCGAGCATCGCATGGAATGGTCATATGGACGATGACAGCTAATCTCCTGCAATAACTCATTCTTTCTTCCCTTACAGAGTGGTGGAAGAGTGCATTGCTCAATGTATGGACCACCTCCAGCGGGAGAGTCCCGCGGGAGATCCGAACAATTTTGACTTTGTAGCTCACGACGCGCACGATCTTTCACTATCTTTTGATGAATCTAGTCTCTTCAGTCTGCGGGTGAGTGGAAAATCGTTTCCCTTGAGTCTCTGCCTACTATCTACTTACTGTGTTAGCTGGAAGTAATGCGCGGCGTTCGCTCATGGGAGCGTAACCTCGTAGGGCTCAGTTTTTCCGGTTACACGCTACGAGATTGCACAAAGATTGAACTCTCTGCTGTCCTTGAACTTTAGCCGCTGTTGTTATATCGAGCACAGCTGACGCTATCACTCGTCCGCGTCTTTCTATTGGAGAACAGCTCGCTACCCTGTGGCGAGATCTGTCGCGCGGTGGCCCCGTAGTAATTACATCCGTTGAAAAAACTATTTTTTTTACGGCTCCTCAATGAGCCTATTCTTGCCCCCACCGACAGAATCTTTCGTCCTTCTTGCAGATGGACTCGTCCGAGTGCTCAACCGAGGCAACAAAGAGTCCCCAGAGGTTACAAGGTCTCTCTTGGATGCGCGACGGGAAACCGTGGGCCAAGGAAGGAAGCTAGTACGAAGTTCCGCGTATCATCGACCGATCTACGGGTCGGTTGGACCTGTAAACATCTGTACAGAGAGAAAGACAGCACCGGGAGACCTCAATGTCCATAGAGCGACAATCATTTTGAAATCAACACCCTCGGAAATCCACTCATCGGTCTCCCGCGTGTGAATCGTTGTGATGCATGCTACACTTTCTATGGTTTCCTCTTCCCGTTATGATAATTTACCAGCGAAGCTTTTGTTGGTTGATGCTCTGTACTGATGAGTCATTGAAGAATGATTTCGCTCCTCTTCGTAGTTAATTATACCGCTCGCCCGCGAGCGAACGTTACCTAGAAGCCTCTAGTCGATGAAGGTAGTTATGGCTGCCGCGTATGTGTGTCCGATGAAGGATTTTGGATTCCTTTCCCCCATATGAGGGGGAGGAAGCTAGAATCACAAATTTCTCATGAGGGTATGAATGAATGAGCGCAAGGAAGTCTGAGACGTTGCCAAGAGCTTAAAGGGTCACAAATCACAAAACACGGTGATCGCTTGACGAGAAGAATGGATTGATGTTCTGTGTGGAAGCGGACCGTTAGGGAAACGGCGAGGGGCGCACCGATGAGCCATGATGCTGGCGACGGAGCACCATGGAAATGCGAGATCTCTTCCTGACTTCTCTTCAGTCCCCTTCGAACGTTCTGTCCTGCAATCTCTTCATCAGATGGTTTCAAGATTCGCTTCCTTCGGAGGGAAGTGATTCTCCTGACATGGAAGCCTCCAGGCGCTCCTGTGAGGTTAAGCGATGCTACTGGCTATGAAAGTCGAAAAGCCCAGCCCGAGCCCCTCGCGGTGTGCCACTGCGGAATGCTATCTTTCATGAGGAGAGTTTGGAGGGAATAAAAGAAGAACAATTTTCTCAGAGAAGCTGCCCATTGAATTTATGTAGATCAATTTTACCGTTCCTCATCAATGAATCCTGCCTTGATCGGGAGGGAGCCTGTAGGCTGTGCGGATCATCCCGCAGCTAGGTGGGGGATCGAGCTCGAAGAGATTAGTCTTCACGTTTCTTTCGATAGCAAGGAACTGTTTGTTTTTATTATGAATCCGAAGATCAATATATGTTCATATATATTAAAGTGATTCTCGTACGCTTCTAGTACGTCCTCGTTCCACTATCACTGTTCCGTCAGGCGATTGCGAAAATGCTTGGTCCCGAAGTTTATTGATTCTTATTTACACAGCGTTTCACTTTCGAGTCTGCATCGACGAGCCACTGTAAGCCATTACATATTTTTTTTCTCCATATCTAACGCTTAGTTTTTTCTCAATTCTTTCTCGACTCCCACGCCCTTGGAGTAATCAAACCGAGAGGTGCATCGCGGAATTCTGCAACTTGTAGAGGATCGCACACACAACAGCAACGGCGAGGAGCCCGGACACAAACAGTAACGATATGTTCGGTTTCCTGACTGCTTGCTGCGACAAATGTCGGCTGTGGCCGTTCGAGACGCGCGGCATCACTTCTTTCTTGATCTCGGTTTTCACCTGACTCACGTTACCGACGCTGCCGCGGTCGACAGTCGTTGTCGTGGTCTTTGTCGACCGGCTGATGATGGTGGTACCGTCTTCAGCGAGGGTCCTCTCTTGTTCGGTTTCGACGGTTCGTACGAATTCGTTGCCCGTCTGGTTCGTTTCCGTTTTGTCGTGGATCTTGTTTATGACTTCGGTTATGGTTTTGGGCTCTTCTCTGGCCGAAGCTGCGGACAGGACCTCACGGGGCTCCTCGGCGGGTACGTCGGGTTGTTCGCTCGGAGGGGAGTCGCTTTGTTCCGTGACGACGCCGCCCGCGTCGCCGTCCTTGGAAGCTCCTTCCGTATCACGGACCTCGGCTCTTCCAACCGCTGGATCTTCAATATTATTCGACTGATCCCCTGCGACCTCTCCGGGAAGGTTTTCGGGAACCTTCTCAGCTTGCTGGGTGAGCTGATCTGGTCCGTTCGCCTCGACTGAGAGAACGGTATCGTCGATCTCGGGAGCCGCCAGAGGAACGGTAGTGACTTCAGGAGCAGCTGCAGCTAATGTCGTCGCGGGTTCCGGAGTCGGGGGCACTCCTTTCTTGGCTCTGTCCTTTTTGGTTTTGTCTTTGGAGCCGAAACTGAACTTCCGAATGGAGAGTACGGAAGTCGACTTCGGCTTAGAGCCACTGAACGTATTTGATTTATCGACATTCGCAGCTTCGATCGCCGGCTTTTCTCCTCTCTTCTTACCGAAGGAAAATATCCTCCTGATCTTCTTTCCCACTCCCATCTTGCTGTGAGCTGCAAAAACAGGACGTTGACGTAAGATTTTTGGGACGCCTCTGAGAAAATCCATTCCGCTTCAGAATTCAGCACTCGATTATAATCGCGATGACGTTGTTCCAGTGTTTCCGTCGTCACCGAACGTAATTCGCGGAACGCTTTCTAGAGAACGTCAATCAAACGAGCCGGTAAGCACGGACGATATCCACAAGGACTCGGTCGGGGGCACAATTCGTCGGACCCTCGGAGATCAGGAGACTCGGGAAAACCGAGAACTGTAACTGACTCGAAGTCTACGGTTTCGTCCGAAGCGTCTACACGCTGTCGTCAGCACTTCGGATCACTAACTTCGCTCGGGCTATACGAAGCTATGCAAGTGCGGCAGCGGAAGGAGGAACGAGCGCTTCTCTCCCAAGGAAGTAGTGGGTCGCTCTCAGAGCAAGAAGATCTCGCTTTTGAAGCTAAGCGCACCGGCCTCGAAGTCAAGGCCCGGTCTGGGCATCGAGTTTGGATCGAACTCCTCTTTCCCGCCAGTGAAGCCACGACTGTAGGTTACCTGTCCGCTTGGAGAGATGAATCGATTCGTGTTCTACTCGGTTGCCAACGTTACCAGCGCCGGCCGGCCGGCCGGCCGTCGCAGTCTACCAGTCAGCCTTCACCCTCGATTCTACCGGCCCTCAACCCCATCCTCCGCGAGAGAAATAATAATATGGAGCGTACATTCGGAGACAGTCTCGCGATCGGTTCGACTCGAACATATTCAGAGTTCTAAGCAGTCCAGTGATCGAGTCCTTCCTGCGATTCAATGGGGATCCCCATCCGGGAGACATTACAACAAGCGACTCGTGTAGCACGACGATCATAGTTTATGCTAATTCTAGCGATAAACTAAAAGATCCGTCTCGCTCTGTTGTTGAGAACCAACGCCGCGCCGCTGTCGTGACGCCCGGCTGATCGTAGTGCTCAGTTCGTCTGTCACTCATGAGGACGCTTTTCAGCACGATTTTCGAGTTTAGGCACTGAGAACCTGAAGACTGCACCACCCATGAGGGAATCATCGGAAACGAGTGCGATGATCCGACGAAAAAAACTCCCAGCTTTACAAGATTTTGCATTGCGCTCGTTGAACCAAAACTCCAAACTCATTGTCTACTCACAAAACGAGGCTATCTCGGGAATTATGGAGCGGGAGCTTCACAGGGACAGGTCTATGCGGCACGAAGCCTCGTAACAGAATGAGCTTTTAGGGCGTTTGACAAGATTGATAAAACTACGACGCGCCACTCGAGACGCTATCTACCGGCCGTGATAGTCTAAGAATGGAATTCGAAATCCGTGTTGAGCGATTGGACTTTCGCGGAATTCGCTGCGAAGAGCCTCTCAAATATAGCATCACCATTACGTATCACATCGTAATTACTCGAGCGATCGTACTTCGAGATACGATGGATACCAGTGACGGATTCTGAGTAAAATTCATCTCTCCAAACGCGCCCTTGTCATGGGGAGAACTCGGCCGAACTTTACCGACACCCAAGTATTTCTCGCCCTTCATCAAATTCCGAGCTTCGACCCGTGGTATGGATCGTGGAGCATTGAACTCACGCTGTCAGGTTGCTCGTATGAAAATTTCCAATCCTTGAAGTCTACGAAGTCTCGCCCATGGATGACGCAAGACGACTCATGTCACCTCAGGGGCAAGAAGCGAATCATCACCGCGTCCATGCAACACAATGAGGACATGATCTGTGCATGCCGGAGCAAGTGCTCGGGACGCGAGCGACGAGGAGACATGGATAACCTTAACATTGTCGTCTCTGATGAGTGAACTACGCTGGGAACGGCATCGCCCAGTAGCTCTCGAGATGGGGGAAAAGCCTAATACGAAAGCAAAAATCACGGATTCCATTGCGGTCGGTGCGATGAGAGAAAAGAGCAACCCTCTCGGTCACAGGGCTCTACGAATCCGATTGAGATTGCTTATGCTCTGCGGAACGGTATCGCTAGCTCGAAACACCCCGATTAGCTCGTCAATAATCTCATCTCCTGATCTCGTTTCTGAAAATGCCCAGAAGTGAGATGAGTCTCTTGGATTGCTCCAGCTCCGAAAATAGACGATCTTGAGGAAAACGGGGCGTGAATATTCGATTTCATGACTTCTGTTCCCGAAACAGCCTAAACTGAGCCGGCTCGAACGCGAAGGCGCCTACCTTGCGACAACGAGATCTACAGCCCGGCGGTAACAGTCAGTGCAAGAGTCGGCAACACCGGAGAAGTTTCTGTCGCGCCACGCGGCACCATTGTTACCTGGCTGAGATTGGCAATGCTGTGGAACGTTGCCGTTCCGCGTGGCTGGAATTCGCTCGTGCCTTCACAATGGCTCGAAGTGAACTCTGGCTGCAGCCACAGGGACCATGTCTAGTTTCGGTGACAGCAGCTCACGAGGAACTCACAAGGGGCACTTTGCGAACCCTGACCCAGTACTAGAAATCGGGCTCAATCGTTTACATGAATCATCACCGCAAGCTCAGCGACCGAATTTGTAGCGCTGAACAATTCCTCCACACTGCACCTGGAGCTCAGGCTACTTGGCAGTTGCTCAACGGGCCGTCGTAGACTGTCACAATATAGACCGGAGAACCTCATCGCAACAGTGAGGTCCGGGTTTGCACACGATGCATCCTCATTCCAATGCCGGCTCGACGACCCGCCGGATCTCACAAACTCAGCGGTCTGCCAACGAAACCTCAACCCGCCGCGTGACCAACAGCCGTCCGTACACGAGAGTTAGACGACGTTGCACGGTCGTGATCGGTACACTTAAGCGTCAACTTCGCTAGGGTGGAGCCATTCTCAACGCGAGAATAACCTTTGACGATAGGAAGATAATTCACGGTGACCACGCACTTTCGAAACATTTACGGCTCCGAGATCTGATAAAGTTTACACTTTACCCGCACTTCCTCTATCGAGAACGCGTTCGCCCATTACCGAAACCGACGAGGATTCAAAGTGTGGTCAACTTCCGTGGAACAGAGAATCGGAATTTTCCCTGGACGGGAGCGCGTTCCCGCGTATTGTCGAAATTACTTCGTTCGAATTTTCTGATGCATTCACCGGCATCGGTTCTTGCTTGGCAAACAAACTTCACAAGCTGCCCTAAAGATCGTTGCCCTCATCTTTACCTCCTTCACCGCCGTCGCTGTTTTTCTTTACCATGTCGTTCAAACGACGGTATCGCCGGGTATAGGAATGACGGCTGAGGCGAGGACTTGAGAGAATAATTCAGAGGGAGAGCCTTTTCCGATGAAGCACGGAATTCTCTCTAAAGCTCTTTCTCTCGATCGAACGATCAAACGATAAACGATCTTTGATAGCTTCGTCACAATATCGATCGACCCGGATGTTATTCTGAGTAGTATTGCACGATTCCCTCCCCAAAGTGTCACGTGCCACCCACGCACGAACACAGGAATGAGAGTTTCTCGCTCGCACTACGAACGAGCACAAAGCGAAGGTTGCGGCGAAAATGAGCCTTGTGCGAGAATAATCCCCCGAAGGAAGGAGCCGTAGCGATCAGATTAAACAAGTCTCGCAAGCATCAGCGTACATTTCCCCCCCCAAGCTTTCTTCCTCGCACAGGCTCAGGAATAAGGAGCACCGGATTGCAAAAGGATAAGGGGTGCCGTTCCTCGACGATGTTTCGGTGATCTCGCGTCGAAGTCGACTCTCAGATTTGAATGCTAGCTAGATCGGCAACGCATCACCTTTTGCTTGTCTGTAATAGTGAAGGAGAGGATGTTTCAACATGAGAGTAGCGGCGAACAACACCCACAATTATGCAGAAGTCTCGGATTCCGGTGAGTGCCGAGTCTGAAGGTGCACGTGCAGCGAGTCATCGACACTAATGATTACACTACACTTCAGAGCAAATGATTTGGCGAATCGTAGTGGTTGAGATGTTCACTGAGGACATCGACCATCGCGAGCCGTCCCTGAATGGGAATGGCGTGTCTTTGGTCGCGAGGTGTTCGATTCATCCGAGAATCTGGACAAACCCTGACCACAGATCAGCATTCGGCGAGGAGGTGGGCTGAGCTCGCCGTACCGCAGAATGCGCGGAATCATTTGGGAAGTACTCACTTGTACAACAATGCTAGGTTACCGTGGCTATGGGACAAACGTTCATCGTCTTCCTCCGAGGCAGATACGTCAGAAACCCACTATGCGGTGTGGGCTGACAGCTGCTGGACAGCTCATGAAGCGTAGAACCATAGGCTTGAGAATTCAAGCCAGAACTGGATAAATCAAGCGAAGATTTTCCACGCGGTCGGCGCTGTTGGGATCTGCCGGGATACTATCCCGAGCAGAGATATTCTTCGCTGATTGAGCGCGTGAGCTTTTTAGTCCACGCCCCATGGCCCAAGTATGCCAAGACAACACGTGTCTCCTAATCGCTATTTTCAAAACATGTTGTCGAGCTAGTCATCCGCCGACGTACAGCCTGTACCCGGGCTCTGTGTCCCGAAGAAACTCGAGACCCATCGGCGCCTGAAGTCCCAGATCTCGCTCGCTGCCGCGACCCCGAAGCATCATCGAAATACTCGGTGTCTCGACGCAAGTACACGGACGGTTCGGCATAATTCAAAAGCCGTGCAAGAGACGGCTTGCAATCACTTGGCACTCGAATTCTTAGTCCTAAAGGATCGAGTCATCATCTTTCCAACAAAGACAGCTTATCGGTGAGCGACTCAACTCGAGAGCACACCTCTTAGATGAATAGCTCCTCGGTCTAATCTTGGCAGCGGACTTTACGGATTCGATTGCGTTTCCGATCGCGGGGATATTTCGAAACGAAGCCGCGGAATGAGCTCACGGATCGATTTTACGTGAGTAACAGACCTCATTCGTCGGGTTCAATGAGTACATAAACTATTGTGGCTACTCGTCATCCACTGAGTGACTAGGAGTACTCACGAGACAACTGGTGATCGCGAAGCGCGGTCATCGAGCAACTCTGATCGCTCACACGCAAATTTTTCCCACAGGCCAGAAAGCGGTAGACACACTGGCGGTGGTTTTCTTTGTAAACAGATGAGCAATCATACAGCGATCCCTGGGCAACCGCAATGCGATCGCCATGAATCTGTATAGCGCAGGCATCGCTCGTTGGCTCATCTGTCACTCATCAATCAAGCGTATGCGAATGGGATTTTTGCTCCGCTATATCCTCGCGCTCGGGATACAGATCACTGATCAAGCAAGCCAGCACCTCAGATATGGGACGTCCTTGGGATCGACTCGCTTGCAGCTCGACAAACAGAAGCGAGTTCTTTGCATCGAGCCCCGTCGACGTAGCTTCTTTCTTTCGTTCCGACCGGAGCGCTATCGCGGGCACGCGTATCTTTGCAATACAACGACTCCACCGATCGGATTTCCAGGCTCTGATTGCGAGTGATTTTTGTTTCCGAACATTTGTCCTCGACCGAGAAGATTTCCTCGCTCCGCCACAGCTGACACAAGCGATGCCGAATCCGACATGGAGAGCCGGTGAAGCCCGCAGATTTTTTTTCTGTCTAATGGCGGACGCGGCTCGTGGTTCTGGGACGGCTACTCTCTTGCCAACGAGGAATTGCCCAGAATGCAGTCGGATTTAGCGGTCAGAAGATTATTATCATCTCTTCTGGAAGAGTAATCTTTCCTTGGCATGATATAATCACCGGAAGGTTGCTGATGCACTCAGCTTGCTCCGTATGGATCTGATCTCACGCGAAGAACCGAAACGAACGGACGAAAGACAGAACACGACCGCACCGAGATGTGTGGAAATTCGAATTGAGGGACCAAAATATTCAAAATGTTTGTCTTACCAAAAGAACCACACGGTCACTAGCGCCACAGCAAATGCGAACCAGGTTCACGTGGAGAAATCGAATGGACTACTGCCGCCGGCCGGAAAGAGGGTCTGCCCTCTCAATCCTTGCCCTACAGTTTGGAGAAAGCGCCGAGTGGCTCGTCGGTTTGCTCTTCTTTCATGAAAACTATCAGATTGGAATAGATTCACTGTTAACCAATCGGATACGCCATCTGCCTCCTGTATGATTCTCGAGTATCTTGTCGATACGCTGTTTCCCCACCATCCTCGAGCACCGTATTCGATATTATCCTTTGAATCGGGCAGCGACCGAGTTCGGCAGAACTCTTCAGTACGGGAGACTGCTGTCAAGTTTATGGAAATTAATGAGTCCGATGTTATACAAGGGAAGAGTTGGAGCATTGCCGAGAGCATCAATCTTTTGTTGTGGGTCTCAGCTCACTGAACAGCTCATCGGAGCAGAAGAAAATCATTGAAAGCACACATGTGAGGAGCCGCTGATATTGCTCGCTGGATACGTCATTTTCCTCGTAAAGCAGCAAACTAGGCAGCGGAAGGTGTCGCGTCCACGAGATTTCCTCGTCAAAAACAGAAAACTTCCTACCGTCACACTTGTGCATGGAAATACTTCCTCCGAGAATGATTCGAGGAATTCATCCTCTTCTGAACGAACACACTTTCTGGTCGGAGGTGGATGGATTTCTCCTGAAGCCGCGAGTGTTCTCCGCAAAATTTCAGAGAACTTCTCAACCGAGTTTTATCGGATATGCGACGAGCGGATCTCGCGCCGATACGATTCGCCGAAAGTCGGCGACACTTTGAGGTCCCCTCTTCCAGCAGAGCGGAAGCCCTGTTCATACTGTTCATAATTCACTAACGAATGAGAGCTCACGCCCACGGCTCGGATCGAAGCTCTGCTCCAGAAATAATCCCGAAGCGTGATCGAAACGATTCCAACCTCCTGAAGGCAATCTCTCAGCCGAGCGGAGCAAGAATTTCACAAAAGCACAACAGGTTCTCACCCGAGGCCGAAAAACTCGGCCCGTTCCCGAGAGTTCGGAGCGCTACATCCGGTGACGAACGAGGGCGACGCTAGTTATAAACAGAAGCCCCCGGAGATGGAACCGCGCTCGGAACACTCACGGGACGTCGATGGAAGATGCGGCAATAGTCAACACAAACTCGAGGCACCGTTTTTGGAAGATAATAATTATTGACAAACTTTTCTTACCCACAGCAAGTGTAGTGACAGCAGCAGCTAGAGGCGAATCCGTGCTCCTCATTGTTTAATCCGCGCGACAAGAAACTCGCTTCGGTTGTGTGGCGAACGCCGATGTTACCGTAGGAGAGAAGCTGAAGCTCGACCTTGCCACAAGTTTCTGCAGTCCGTCCGCAAATAAGCTAGTCAGGCGGGCGGGCGTTCGGGCGCTCAGGAAGGGATTCTATCAGCGTAGACGTGCCTGAACCAACTAAGTGGCCCCACAAGGTAAACTTGCCACAGATTTGTGGAGCTGTCTTGCTTTCAAGCTTACCACATAATATTCTCGATGACCGTGCCCCGGTGGAAATGGGAGCATGTCTGGAAAACCGGAACCGGTGGTTGTTTCTCGACATTTATAAATAGATGGAAAGGAACAACTCGAGGAGGAAGAGTTCCGACTGGAAGATCGGCATGGGCTTTTCCCCATGCCTAGCCATGCACGAAGCCGGGGTCGGGTTTTCCACACTTTTCCCACCCGATCGAGCGGCCGGAGGCTTGGTGTAAACTTGTCCGACCGCGCGTTTCTTGGTCATACCGAGGGAATGCTTGAACGGGTACGACTCACAGCGCGTGTTATGATTCGGGACAGCATCCACGTCGTCTTCGGACCCTCATGTTTAGAACGGATCGATCTGTTGCCATAGACTCCTGTGTTCGGCTGTTTCCAGGAAGAGCACATCGCTGAGGCGAAGTCGGATAAGATAAACTGAGGCAAAAACAAGGTAGCACACGTGCACTCCGAACAAGTGAATTATTACCGGGCGGAGAAAGCAGTCGAGATTCGGATCGGCTCGAAGTGATCGTAGTCTTGAGCTTTCTCAGCTGAGTGGAACGGTAGGTTAAAGAATCTCTGCGGAATTTTCCCCACGGCCAAGGTTCGCCCGCGAATGTTGTGAGCGGCATAACAAAAATCATGAGGGTCGACATGATAGGTTCCATTAATTCTACGCGAGGTCGTCGTCACTACCGGTCCCTCGACGCTCGATACGGTCTAGGTTATCAGCCGGTATGCCAAACAATACGATATTATTGGTTTTCTCTAGCATCGGGCTATATTCTAGATTCCGCCAGGCCCTCAGGAATCCTGGAATCGAGAAGCCGAATGGACCGCACGGTTCTCCTTGTCTCTCAAATCAAGACGCTCTGTGCGCGTAGCTCATCTGGTAGTTTCATGTCGATCAAATCTTGCTCCAAGCCGAGTGGACTGTAGGGGATCACAGCTCCACAGGATCCACAATCTCTGCAAGCGGGAGAGCGATTTTGTAGAAGATTTTCCGAGTTCTCGATCCTCGATAGATCTAGCATTCAACATATCTACCAGTCTATGATCATGAGTCATGACTCATGACTTACAATGTCTGTGCTCACTCATGTTCGATGGGGGAGCAAAATGTGGGGGCGCTCACCTATTCAAGGAAATGCAGTAATTGCAATTCTTTCGGTCGCACCTATAGCATCGGAAGAGCAGAGCGTAGTTCGACTCCGCGGAAAGACAGCGTACACATTCGGAGGAATCTGTCAGCTCCCAGAGAATCGGCAGATTCCAAAGCGTTCCTGATTCGGGAAGACAATCGACAAGCTCAAATGTGAGAAGCCACGTTATCCTCCACTGAAAGTGAGCAAGCGCTCTACCCCGAAAAGATTTGTCTCGAAGATTATAGGTGCCTCCAGGAATAGGCGTTCGAGCGAATGACGGCAACAACTACGGAGGAGGCTGCAATCGGAGCAGAAAGACGAACCGTCACCGGAAGAATGCTTGTCAAGGAAGAAAAATCGAACGACAGGTCGGGCATGCTATCGTTGAGTTTTGAAGAAATGCTTCCTCCGAAGCCGGTATCGATGTTTGTCTCGGAGTGAGTCGGTGTTTGTGTGTGAGTATGCGTGTGTGTGTGAGCGAGCGTGTCCTTGCACGGAAGAGCCAGAAAATCCATTCTGCTCAAGCCGACCGATATGAGCTGATCTTCGAATAGGATGACGTACAATGTTACATCCGTTTTCATAGCAGCCGACTCCGCATGATTGCTTTATCCGGAATCTCGGCCTTCTCTTGAGGAAGTCCGAAACAACTTCATTTCCTGCTCGTCTCGAGGAGCTGGCGACTACAACAAGCAACAATGAAAACTATTCATCCTTCAAATTTTGTCGGCTCGTACCCCGTGCGGGGCAAGGCTGGTTCGGCCGTTGGTGTTCGGGTGAGGAAAGTCAAAGGGTCGGTAGATTGTAATCGGGATTTGAAGTTTTTGGACCTCGCGGCCAAGAACTGGATCCGTCATAAAACGATGTCCTCGTTGCTGTTATAGTTATAGGATCGACGACGCCACGAGCGGTAACGAGCGCCGGCGCAGCGGAAGAAAAAGCGAGAAAACATTTTCCCAGAACTTGAAACCAAAAAAAGATGGGGGAAGCGAGTCCACCTACTTTTCGCCGCCTCAGCGAGTTCAGCTAGGAAGGGACCGATTTCTCGCCTTCGTAGAAGCAGACGGTACAACCACTCGGATCGCTTGGACGCCGTTTCGGGAAGATAAAGATTAGAGATCAAGGGTCTCAGGCGAATGATATACGGCGATATCACCGCCAGTACAGTCGCGAGCGCTATGAGCTCGATACTTCGGTCGAAGCTGTGGATGGAAGCAAAGCGGTACCGGTTGAGTCAAGTTTTGTTTTGAAAATCGATTTGTGAATCCAATGAGCCGGCGGTACTTGTAGAACAGAAACAAAATCTGCTTTTGTTGCTACTCCGACATAGTGCAAATCGCTAAAACGATAAAACCGCGTTCGCCGAAGGCTTACGTAACTCTTAGCCGAAAATCTGGCGAATCACGTCATCGGCGCGGCGGCACCCCGTGACGCCGGCGATTCTGATGTCGTTAAAACCTGCGCTGGATGCTTGGAATGGGCTCACTGTTTCCAGTCTCAAGGGCTCGGAAGAAAAGCTTACTGATTAAGATCCGGTTCACGAGGCTCAACCAGACATTTTTGGAACCTCTCTAGACCCCCGTATCGCGATCCGTAGAGTCTCCGAATGAAGCTCGACCACGGCGACGAAGAATTCTGGGAGGAAGAGATTCAGCTCAGTCAGCGATACAGTGCTCTTTCCAGGCGCTGACTCTGGCGGTCCCAGACATGCGACAAGTCATGGAGGAATATTCGCCGAAATTCACGAGTGAATCAATCTTACTTCATCCAACTTCACTAAGCTCCACAGCGTGTTCGCAGCGACCGATATCGCAACGTTGACCAGGTGAACGATGAGGAAACTAGCAGCAGCGAAGGCCACCCTGCGAAAACACTGAATGGGGAATTTTCGGGACGAATAATTGGAAGTATGCGGCGTGTGAACACGACGATGCGTCGCCTCATGGCAAGATAAGACTCAAGTTCACCGGCGATGAACGCAGTGGCTCGTTGATCTGCGCTAGAATTTCAGCTTACGAGACCACATTGCTCCCCGTCACCATAATTTCTCCCCACGTCAAACGCAAGGATTTGAAGTCGACGAACTTCATCGCTTCTTCCGGTTCGAGTGGCAATACTGTCTGCAAGCCTTGCCGCCTTCGCTCCATGTCCCGGTATTCGGTCTCAGCCGTGACGTAATGGTTATCGAACATCATGTCCCTCGAGAAGCAATACACATACAGCGTGACCTAGTAGGGGGGCACACAAGAGTTTTACGGGGAAAGCTGCGTCTGATCTGATCGAGAGGGGACGACACCTTCGGGAAAGACATGTCGAAGAAGAAGTAGGCTCTGGTTCGGGAATATCGGGTCCAAAACCTTGTACATCAGCCAGAAGGTGATGGTGACGTAGACTTTCGCGAAGATTCGGAAGAGTTGGGTGAGGAAATAGAACCGCTTTTGGATTGCGAGTCTTCCCTGGCGGAAGGCTTTCTGGACGGCTCGGCGTGGCTTGTTTGCGTCGATCTGATAGACGGAAAATGCGCTTTTGCAACCATTCTCTGACGGGGATGCAGAGGTAGATCGAGCTCTTCCATTCAATACCTCCCACGAAATGTCGCAGGAAACAGCGAATTCCAGAAAAACCCTCCGAGTGACACCGCGCACGGACTCGATCGCAAAGGGCGAATTTACAGTTTTCTCCGTCCTAGGGAATAGAAATGGGCTCATTCTCTCACCCCACCCGTCTGTCCCCGCGTCCGCCGTCTCAGAATCGGGCAACTACATTGGATGAACGAGGTGCGATTGTTTCCACGAACGAATCTCGTCAAACTTACTCCAGGATGTTGAACGAAGACATCGCGTTCCGGATCACCTTCGTTTTTAAGAAGATACTCAGCAGCTCTGCAGCCTCCATTCTATCATAAGCCATCGCAATAAGCAAAATCACCTCCTTAGTTAGACCTACCGTCGAGTAGTCGGCGAGTGATTGTGTGACATGTCTCCCGATATTGGAATTCAGCTTTCGCAAGTGATCGACGAAAGGACTCAGCCCATCTTGAACATCCACGGCGAAACATTTCAGAGTTCGCCGCACGGTACAGGTCACAGACGTCAGTATCGAATGAGAGTTGTGAACAATGTTCGCGGACGGAGCTAGATCAGAGAAATTCGCTTGGAATAAACATCATTGGACTACACTCTCATCCTGTGGGGACCAACGCTCCGCTCGGAGATCGCCCGCGAGTAGAAACCGAATTAAGGCGAATCCAAGGCTTGATCATATTGGATCATTATCATGATGCTCTGCTCACCGGTGAGTAGATAGAAATGTAGGAGGCCGATCAGGACTCGCCGACCATCTTGGTGGAACAGAGTCACGAAGAACAACATCACTGTCAATCTCAGAGTGGGCCACGCAATCATCACACCTGCTAAGAATAGGGAGACAACGACGGACGTTCTCCATTCGAAGCGTAGCCGAAGGATGAAGGCAAGTATGACGCTAGATATCAGGCAGAGGACATTCTTCAAAGCTCTGTTCTCCACAGTGCCTGGAATGCAGTACGGCGTCGGCTAAGACGCATACCCTTAGTTTCGAAGAGGGTTTTTCATCGGTACAAAGAACTTTCGACCATGTCCGAGATATCGCTTGTGCCGCTCAATGATGGTTCTACGTTCCGGTGCGGAACGATGGTCACGGAGGGTCAATAGATGAGAGGCCGGAATCTCGATTCTCACCTGCAGTGAACCAGGCAGAGAGGCAGACATCATGGGGCACATAAACTTGTTTGAAGAAGCAGCACGGACAAAAGGAGCTCGGCACGAAAATGCAGAGATATTGTCGCATCGTAGGACGTTTCCCGACCGCGTGAGTGACGAAATAATCGTCTATGAGTGTGCTAATGGAATAAATTCTCGAGTGATTGGGTCTTCCTCCGAAAAATTCCCACCGATCTCTCACGGAGAAAAAAGCACATGTCCCTGTCAAAGGTAGAGTTTTCGGTCGTCAGACTCGACTCACGTGTCTTCCGCTGTCAATCCGTACTCCCTGCGTTTTCGCTCCAGATGATTGGCCACGGGAGCAACGAAAAAAGGGTCTATCAGGAACGTCCTTATGAAGCCATCGATCAGCCAGAAAACGTCGTATAGTGCTCTCTCGAAGGGGAAACATGGAATCTCAGATGAGTTGGCCGGTAGGGGGCCGCGGCCCCTATTTATCTAGACCAGGGGTATCGGACTTAATTTTTCGGCGGGCCACATGCGAGCGCCGCAGGTGCCCGCGGGCCACATTAAAAATTTACTTTCGTATGAAAGGAGAATATATGCCAATCGTCCATGGAAGAATGCTTTTCCGCCCTCCGGGAATTGAGGGAAAACTAGTTTGTTCGGTCTCGCGGAGGGATTCGTTCCACTGATCTCATTCGATTTCCAAGCACTCATTCGATACGGTCGGCTTCGAGCATGTAGAGAAATAGAGGCGGGCCACAAAAAGAGACCTCGCGGGCCACATGTGGCCCGAGGGCCACGGATTTGACACCCCTGATCTAGACGGAGTTGTCGAAATGACTCGGCAGCCGAGACTCCCCTTCGACATCCCGAACGAAAGCTGGCAGAGATTTCCATCGATTCTTCATTGGAGTGGTGTCCTGAATAAATTGCTGATCCATACTTACGCAACAGCACTGGCAGCAGAAATTTATAGACTTGCAGCAGCCCACGCAGCATTTTTTACAGCATGTGCGACAACCTAGGTTAACTACGCCGCATATCGCCGCCATCGCTCATCGGAGTGTTGATCAGATACTTCCGCTCGGCGTTCGGGAAATTTCGGAGCGGATTTACCAAATATCAGGACGAAGCTGTTACTGCATCATAAATTCGCCGAAAGCATCAGATATTCGCGATTCCAGGTTTCTGCCGAAAAAACAGACGCCGACAACTGTCAAGAAAGCATCAAAGGATTTGACGGATCGATTTCCTGAATGAGCTGGCTGCAGGCTTGCTCGGGTGACTCTCGCATCGTTGTTGCGCCAATCTCGAGGGTCCCATTTCGTGAAACTCCGCACGGAAGCTCCTCGTTGGCGTGTTGAGGCAAAGGCATGGAGTGGGACGATGGCCAAGTCTCCACGAACCTGATCATAAAGTATCCTCTGTCCTCCCGACGGTCGTCTGTAATCATTCATTCAGGGACGCGCGAAGTAATTTTTTTTTGAAGGGGGGGGGCGAAATAAAGTTTCGGAGGGGGCCGAACGACCGAAAACGATGACCCCCCCTTGCGCGCCCCTGCATCTATTCGAGCAATCCGATAGGGCATCCGAGTTGTTGTAGCCCAGACCCCTGCCAATATGACGGTTGTACCAGGAGCATGGAAGAGAGGATCAGTCCATGGGGACGGCTTCAAACTTGGCATTTTCCGCGGGAAAACTCTCGACCCCGCGATGCATAACGTGAGTAGAGCAATCCTGATTCACGAGGAGAAACTCTCCGTCCGTCCGCGGCTTCCCATCCGCTCATCTTTCCGCTTCGGAAGCGCCTTGGCGCTTTTGCGAAAACATCTCCCTGATCGAAGGGGCGTGTCGAACTCCGAACAACCGTGCCGTGATTCGGCGAGGCGTACCAAGGCTGAGGACACCCGTTGTAGAGAGAAAATCCTGGCATTCCATTATTCCGAGACGACTCGAGTACCTGCACCTTCCAGTCGCGACACGCGCACGCTCGGTGTTCTTCGATTAGCTACTTCACCGCTCACTCTCTCAGGAAAAACTCGACGGAGAGGACCCATCCGATGAATCGGAGAGATTCACGACAGGGGTCCGGTGAATCGCTCTCTGGATTCGTGGGTCATAGGGCCGACCCATGGTTTCGGCTACACTCATGTCAGCGATGAGCTCCGTGATGAAGCGACGATCGTCAAAGCCTCTCTGCAGAATCGAAATCCCGTCGCTTAGGCTTGAAATGTCTCACGAGGAGGCCGGATTCTCCTGTGAGCTTCTGCGAATCTGACGTATTTGGCGCCAGACACCAGACAAGAGACTGGACCAGCCGGGAATGCGTTCATCCTCAGCGAGCGCGCGAAAGGAATGAAAAGAAAACAGAATGGCTGAGCGGCGGAAAGCCGACCCAAAAATAAAGTCAGTTCCACTCATTTTAGCGAAGTTCGCCCGTGAAGATTCGCCAGTGACGACGTCTAGAGTCAATTTCTAAGACCTTCGCACTGACAGGATCCTGTTTGGAACTGTTTTTGTAAAATCGATACTCGTCGTTGTGATTTTCAAAAGGATATTCACGAAGCAACCCATCATGAAGACATTCAAGTTGGTCATACCCGCAGATGAAGATTTACCCCAGAGGCTCCGCATCTCTTTGTCGGGGCATAGTGGCACCGAGATCGACATTCATTTCTCGACAGCGATCAACAATAAGGTCATCGAAGTCGAATTAGATGCTGACACACCAACTACTCTAAACGGAACAGATGACAAGTGAGTAAGCTCGTACCAAGCAGGCAAATCCAGCTGCCGTGTGTTGTGCCATAGCCGTCTGTTAGCATACCGGCGGATAGCGTCAGAATATCCGACAGCATAAATCGGGAAGCGACATGTCCAGGCGCGCGAAACTCATCGTTCATCATAATTGCGCGCAGGAATCTTCTGCGCCCTATCAGATAGCAGGTTCGAGTTGGCTGGGCACCAATGGAACCATTTTCGAACAGAGAGAATATCAATTCCGGAAAACCGTCGCTGTTCAAAGTTCCCGAGAGTGAGCCGAGGGAGCCCGTGGTCGGAGTAATTTGTCTGACTCCTCGAAACCTCCACGGCATACTTGGATGGGTCACCTTTCCAGCGTAATGGTGAACGATGTTCCAACTCAGACTTTCTCTCATCTCTTTCTACAGAACTTCTGAGCTCCTGTCGCAAATCGACATCGAGTCCTCGGGTGGTTTCATTCCCCCAGATATCGCAAAACAGCTGGATGAAGAAGAAGATGAAGTTGTTTGGGCATCGCAATGCCAGGAGGAAGAAGAAGAACCGGTAAACTCCGTAATTCCGGGTGAGAATGATAGAATATTGGTAGTGGATTCCTTCAGAGTAGCTCTTTCACCAGCCTCGTGGACGACAGATCTTGCGCGAGTCCACACGTCAGTCCGGAAATCGTTCGCACTCACTGTGACAGTGATGAGGTGCTCCATGAGTATGCATACCTCCGTGACCCGTTGATTCGCTCGGCACCTACCTGTGACGTGACACCATATACAGAAATCGTACCCTGCGCACTTGATAGTCAGGGATCTCCATTCGACCGATCGCGATGTACAAAGCGCAAGTTGCGCAGTTCGCGAGCGGCCGAAAAGGCTGATATGTAGACATGGGCGCGCTCGGCTCACGTGTGAGTCATTCCCCGGCAGGACTCTATTCACCCGCGGAACAAGCATCGCGGAAGCGTTCGATCGAGTCGTCGTTCGAGGACGAGTGCTTCGTGCCCGCAACTCAACAACATAAGCTCGAGGACGGAAGTTCCGAAGACGACGTAATCGCAGTCATCTTGAGCAGTGACGAGGAAGAGGAGGAAGCTGACGCGTAAGCTCTCGATCACTATTCATCGATTTCACGAAGATCGATTTTCTCTCTTGATAGCACAAGGTTTCCTCATCGAAGGCATGACTTCACAGAAACATCGCTCCTGTTGGACGAATTCAGGAGGAACGGCACCCTCCTGCCCGGGAGAACTTGATCAGTACTCCGATCAAGAACACGGTACCTGTCGTTGTTGAAATTGACAATGATCCGGATGGAGACGCTGGGGCGAAAGCTGCCGCAGATTCGGATGACTCGTTCACCGGCGAACCCATGATGCCGGATAGTCAGCCAGTTGAGCCCATCTTGAAGAAGAAGTTCGTCAAGAAGAAGAACGTGGTTGTTCTGAGCTCCGATGACGAGGAAGAGGACGCCGAAAATCCAGGAGTGCAGAAGGGTTTGCCCGACTTCGAAACCGAGGTGAGTCCGCACCGGATCCACGAGATGAAAATCCATCCGCGTTCGATTTCTCCCATACGGAGGATGCTCGAACAAGACGTAGCATAATAATAAGTCTCTCCTCCAGCCATTGATCGGTGATGTCGAGCCGAAGCGTGTCAGCTCCCTCGCAGGAGACGAGGAAGTGATTCCCGAAACCGACGGAGTGGACCGGCCAAGCGACATCGCGTCGGAACCACTGGAAAAATCCGGGACCGAGGAGCATTCGTCGGGAAAGTCCGTCTCGAATCGCATCAACCGGAGCTCTGGTCTGTGATTCACTCCATAGTATATGTAAATGCTCAAATCCATCGAGAGGATCCATATAAACGCACAGAGTTGACGGCTTCCTGAGCGGAAAGGTCTGAAAGCAGCCCTCGTTTTCTTACGGGCTCGACGTTCCAGGATGGGAAAGCTTCGACGAGGATATTGAAATACTAACAGGGGTTCAGATGGTCGAGGATACGGAAAATCAAGCGGTTCCCCGACCTGTGGCTTCCGGAAACTCCGATATCCACTCAGAAGAAAGGACAGAGATTCCTGAAACCGAGGAGCAACAGAAAGTACGATTTTGTTGGAGGGGGGAACGATCCAAATCACCGTTGTTCCCTCTCGGAGTCGTTGAGCATTGCCTGATTCGAAGTTATCTCCTGAACACGATGAGAGTCGTAAACAATTAATTTACCCTTGCACTCTTTTTCATTTGTCAGTTCAAAGCGCCATACCCCGTGGAAGATCAATCAATGTCCGCTCAGGATGCAAGAACCCAGGAGTCACTGAAACTCACTCTGCTGAGCGAGTCCGAACGAGCCGAAACCGCACCGGGGGTCCAGGTCCATGAGGACTCCATTGAGGCGTCAAGTCGCCAGGTGCCTACGGGAACTCCGAACGGAGCCTCGAGCGAACGACCTTCTCCAACGTCAAAGGACCGTAGATACGATGCACATGACACGCACGGTGAATATAGGACCACTAAACTCCTTACGTCTCTTGAGCGAAAATTATCTGCACGGAACACGTGGGACCCTCAGTCACTCGACGAAGTTTCGACCGGGTCACTCTCGAATGATCATCCGGAAGGCACCGATCGGCATCGTTCGAAGCGAGACTCCCTCGCCGAAATCGCACGAGGAACGGACCTCGCGCTAACCAACTGCTCAGCACGCGGTAGATTGCAATTTACTCCTCCTGTAGATCCGCCCATATCCTGATATTTGAAAAAGGTGGATCATTCGTCATGGGGTAATCCCTTGAGAGAGATTTCGATTTCCTCGCGTTCATCAAACACCATACGGACATGATCGCTTCAGATTATGTCTACTTGCGGACATTGCAACAACATGCGAGCGATGCCGCTCGGAGAAGGAAAGTCGCTGAATGGTTGGCGAGCTCTCCCGCCGGTCCCAACGAAGAGTATGCGTCACTGCTCGAGGATGCGAATATGGTCGAAGAGATTCTCGACAGTGAGTGTGTGTGTGCTGTGTCGCATCGCTTGGGACTCTGTTCGTTTCCTCGTTGTTCGCGGAATCGTCCTCTCTTCTCGGAACTCCCTGAGCCATCGACGGGAGCTCTACTGCTCGTCGGATGCATCTGTTTTCCATCGGGGTTCCGGACTTTCGGTGACTTCAGTAAATCGTGTATTGTCCACTTCCGACCTCCGACGCTCCCTTCCGATGGCGGAAGCGTCGTTTGCACGTCGCCTGTCCGCTCGGCCGCTTCCATCCGATCGGTGTCCGACTCCCGCCGACTGAGCTCCAGCCGTATTCTGACTGATGAAATATTCGAGAACATCTCTTGCCAATCTAAACTCCTTACGTTTTCAAGCATCCACGAGACTGCCTCCGCCGGAATCACCGATCATCAGCACCGCTAGCGAGACGGATGAAAAAGATAGCAACGGAAAGGTGGACAAGAAAATCCCCGGGGTCGACACTCCGTCTCGGAAGAGGTGCGGGCTCGAGATCGTCCTCAACTACGCCGATACGGAAACGAAGTGACGGCTGTCTTCGAGCCGACTCGAATGGATTTCTTTTTCATCGATGATCTGATAAGTCGCTATTTCAGGAGTTCCCCTCCTGAAGGTTTGAAAAGTTCAGAAAAGCGTCGCTGTGACGACTCGGCTTTCGACACGAATGTGGAGCAGTCGCGGACGCCAAGCGGCGCAGGACAATCCGCCCTCACCGGGAACCCGTGCGATCCGAAATCAAAATCCAGCGGGTGAGTTCGGGGAAAGCTATTTGAACGACTCCAGACGAGCGCTGGCTCCCAGGGGGCATATCTCAGGTTTCTTCTGTCAATTCTCAGCGGCAACAACGAGGCTAACGATGTGGAGGTGACGGTATCCGAGAACACTGTCAGTAGGCGCAGGCCAGCTCGGATTAGCTCTCGTCGGAGGAGACTCTACGATAGCGACGACGTTCCAAGTCAGCCGATGTCGAAGATAGTCGACAGTCAAGAAATAGGAAAATTCGCTCTACCGACAACATCACATAGCAGGTATGCTCCGCGCACACAGACCCTTCGCCCGAGAGCAAAAGATCTGCGGGAAGTCCCGTGTTGGGCGACGATCGAATGTCCCACATCGTTTCCAAGCGTTTCGAATGCATTGTGAAATGCTGAGAGTTTCCAGCAACAAGAAAAGTCCCACAACGAAGACTCGCGGAGCAGGGAAAACCCCGCAGCCCAACGAACGAACTCCGCGATCCTGCACGACCGCTGCTACTGTCAGATCCACACGGAGAACTCGAGCAAGCCGGGCGAGTGCCGGCGAAGGAGATGGCGGCACCAACGTCAAGTAAGCTCGGAAACAGAGTTCTTCGGGAACTGGAGTGTCGAGAATTTTCTCATGATCTGACACAGAGGTTTATTTTCAAGCAGGGTGAAAGGGGGATCTGAAGCTACTCCATCGCGGACATCAAAGACTGCTGCGAAAGTTCTGAGGTAAGTCTCGATAGATAGTTCGATCGACTTAGATTTCTTAGGGAAGACTTCCCTTAAAGTCACCACTTACGATTCCCAAGCAGCCCCAAGATTGTGGAAGAAGTCAAGGAATGCCCTTCAGCTGTAGCAATGGTACACCAGAACAGCGAAACACATGAAGAGTACGAACCCTATTTGCGCAGTTTTTTACTCCCTCGTCCTTGTCACGTGCCAACGATTCCTGACTGCCCCTTTTTTCGATCTCCGGGATGGGGAGACGATGGGAAATCGCCCAGAAACCTTTCTTATACTTACCGGTCATCTCCGCCGCTCCACTCATAATTCCTTGCATCCATTCCTACAGAAAGGCTGAAAAATCGAAGGTATTCGGAAGTCCCCAAGCAGAAGTTCTCGTGGCGGAAACAGTTCCAGAGGAAGAAGTTCTCGCTGAACGAGGGCTAGAATCGAAAGAAATCGAGGAAACGCCCGTGCAGGAGAACGCTCCCGAATTCACAAAGCCGACCCTAGAAATCAGGTGACGTCTCGAATCTACCATCTACAGAATACTGTAGATAGTAAGCAACGAACTCGAATCGGCAGTCTGCTCAGTTCGCGAGACACAAAAGAATCATGCTCTGTTTCTGTATTCCAGGAGGCCAACCCGGTCGAGGAGCTCGAAGACCTCTTCGGTGGATATGAGTAAAGCTGAACTTCCTGACCCATATGCGAAGGAAACCATAGAAGTGGTGAGTCGCTTTATGCTCTTCTCTTTTATCAAGCCCCGTCGTCCCACACAATGTATCGAGATCCATACTCCACACCGCTTTGCACTCCGTCGACTAATTGTGAGCGATGCCCGTAGGATCCACCGTCGAAGAGTCGAACGCGCAGGGCTGTCAAGAAATCAGAGTCTAAGGGAGCGTCCCCGTCGACTATCGACTTCAGCGAAGAAATAAATCCGGAACTCATCGAGGCCCGGCCGCTCCGCTCGAGAGACAACCCCAAGGCTGTTAGTTTCCGAGCTTTTTTTTCATCGAAGCACCAGAGCTAGAGGCTGGTAACAAAATATTGATCCCCTTCATCCATCTTCAGAGACCGGGTCGAGTTCGCTCGTTGTCCAATGTGAACGAGCCGGATCAATCTAATCCGAAGAGGAGTCGGCTGATTGAAAAGTCCTCGAGTATCAGCACCCTAGCGAGCCGCCGGCGCCGTAGCAGCGAGGATCATCGAGTCAAAGGCAATCAAGGCGAAGACTCGTCGATGCTCGACCACAGTGTGGCGAGTTCAGACAGCTCGTTAGGCGTCACGCGACTGGCGAAAGCCCGGGTCATGTTCACCGGTACGGCGATCTCCCCTTGAGATCATTGCATTTCCCCTGGCTCCCCATTTTCGACGAAAATAATCTTTCCCCCGAAATTAGCCACTCGTCACCGTGATTCAATTATTCCGACCCCTCAGGTATCGAGAATCCTCCCCGCGACGGGGTGCTCAAACTCGGTCTGAAGCTCACTGATATGATATCACAGTGTAATGTCGTTGTCGCGGCAAAATTCACAAGGACGGTAAAAATGATGTACGCAATCGCGAAAGGGATTCCCGTATTGAGCTCTAATTGGGTCACCGAATCACTGGAAGCGAATAAAGTTCTCGGTGAGTCACGTCGACGATTCGATCGAGCCCTAGCCTACCAATACCGATGTTCGGGACCGTCGTTTCATCTCGCAGAAATTCGAAGAATGACTTACACTTCCAGATATCGATAATTTCATGCTGCGCGATGAGGCTGCGGAAGAGAAGTACGGCTTCAGCCTCGAGAATACGCTGCGTATGGCGAGCGAAAAGAAATTCTTCAAAGGCTGGAGCTTCTACGTCACGAAGTCGTGTTCTCCGAGCGCAGAACAGCTCGGAGAGATCCTGAGCGGTTGCAAAGCGAAGGTGAGACTGAATTTGAGTTATCCCCCCTTTTAGCCATGACGCTTCTTTCTGAACAATCCCGTACGAGCGGTAAGTCGACTCCCTCATGACGGAGTTTCCCTTTATGAGACGCTTTCGAAACATTTCAGATTATCACAAGAGTTCCCACGAAGTTCACGGAGAACACAGTCGTGGTGACCTGTGCGGCAGATCGCAAACTCTTGCCCAAGAAGCCACCGGTTCCTGCAGTCTCAGTCGAGTTTGTTTTTCACGGTATCCTCCAGCACCAGCTGGATTTCAAGACCTATGAAGTGATTTAGCGGCGAGACTGGAAGTAGAGAAGAGAGGTAATGGGAAATAAGTCGGAGCATGTCACAAAAGGCCAAATCTAAAGACTTCGGGATACCTACGCGTTCCGGAAAACTTGTCAAAGCGCGAGGGACAGCTCCTATGTAAGGACATCAACTTCTTAAATTTTCTACCCGAAGTCTCGGCGGTGATGAGAAGAAAAAAACAAGCTTGTTCATGCGTTCCACTCTATAACAAATTGATGCGCATATCCCTTAGGTAGTCGATGATCTTAAGTCTAAAAAGGAGGAGGAGTTTGGACCCAGGAGCCGGCGGAGCGAGACGAAAGAGGGCATTATTATCCAATGATCGGCACTTTCCCCTTGAAATTCTAACGAGAGACATTATAGTAAATAAACCTTCCAACCAAGGAGTCTCGATCTCGATTCGTATTTCTTCTTCGGCTCCGAGCTCAATTGAGCACCATCTGGTTCGAACAGTCATTGACGAAGAGTTTCGGGAACTTCAAGTGAGACACTGTGAACGCTCTAGTGCCTAATGAATATCATGTCAACACGCTGGCCCAGCGGAGGCAGGAGACAGGATGTTCGATTCACATCCTGTGAGCCGCGGGAGGAGCTTCCGAGCCTTGCACCGTGACACAATCCTTCAGCTCGGATGCGAAGTCTATGTGATCGAAGTCGCTCGGAAAGATACCGGTAGGAGGAAAAAGCAGAAAGCTCGCGTGCGGTTTCTGCCCGTATTCGGTATGTTCCACATTCCATGAGGTCCACTATACGTCGACATGAGCTTCTCTCAGATCGAGGACCGTATCCGAATCCCTCCGAGCGGACATCCACTCATCGAATGAAGTAGAGCAAACCCGAATTAAAAATAACTGAAACTTAATCATCGGTCCTGGAGACCTGACAATGCGGAGGACGACCTTCCGACCCGACTATCAATCGAGTTCGGTCCAGAACGTGCGAGCCAAGGGTCATAGTCATAGGTTCCAGGTTTCTCCCGGATCTCGGTCGCGCCAAAGCTTTGTCGCGAGACTCCCAGGGCGCCTCCAAAGAAATGCGGAACAACTCTTTCTCTCAAGTCTCTCCGGTGCCGATTCTCGGGAAGGAAGCGCAATCTTCTCGCTGAGGGATACTGCGGCAGTTTGTGGGGCCCGAGCGAGCACTCAAACAATTCCAGTCGTCGAACTATTTTGCTCTTCAAGCAGCATCGTCCATTCCAGACAAATGAACTACTAGGCTTCCGGAGGGTCTGAACACTAGAAGCATAAGAGCGCTTATCGTGGCTCGTATCTGGACTGGAAAATACTCGATAAAATGTCGGAGCTGAGCGGTCGTTGCAGGATTGCTGAAGAATCACCGTGGCTCTCAACGGATGCTCAGGACCCTCAACATCGACAGCTGACCTTTACCGCTTCTGACGGCTCATGAGACAATCCGGGAGAGATGAGCTAAGCCCTTGTTGCGCCCGACTGGTTCGGAGAGAGACCCGGGAAGGTTCGAACACCTCTATTGCTGTCTGTTTGGGCCGAGGCGACCCTATGTATACGCTCATCGACATTTCCCTGTGTCGCTCAGAGTCCGTTCGCTCTCCCGTTGATTTGGGATAAAAAGAGCCTTACGAGGTTTCCGATCGATACAGCATTCCTGGATTCGCAACAGAGTCATTAGGCGTGTAACCCACGGGTTCCGTTGAGAGGCAAGCTACCTGATCACGTCTGGTCCAAAGTGTCTCAAGGGCGGCCACAAGGCGACCTTCGAAGCGCAGCCTTTGTTTCTCTGACCTCGAAAATACCTGCTTCGATTCGGAGCGATGTCTCCGTATTCGGGAAGCCCAATGCCGCCTCCTATGAGAGAAGTACGCGAAAGTTTTCCCGTCTGGTGGACGAGGATAGTCTTGCAGTGGAGGCGAGTTGAGTAGGGCACAACTCGACGCAAGGGGGGAGGCGAATTATCTGTTTACGGTCGCGGAACTCATTGTCCGGTTTTCGGGAGTGCCTTCCCACTCATTAACCGAAACGGCATGGAAATACGTGTTGTGGGAAGTTCTGATTGTACTGGGAGACTGCCTACTGGTTTCTCGCTCAAGACCTGAGATCAGAACCGAGATCATTGAACCAGACGCCTTCGACCTCTTGGCTATTCTGAGAGAGGAGGAAAATGACTCGAGCTCAATACGACAGCGAAAATATTGTCACGCGCCTCGAGCGAACCCTGTTCTGATAGGAACCTCCAGCCACTCGAGGTGCTCGTCGGCTCCTTTTCGATCCATTCTGGTTTCGACGAGTCTTCCAATCAAGATTGAGCATTCCATAAAATCAGTCGATGCGGTCTACCGCATCATGTTTCCATCTGGAACGTCGGTTTCGGTGCAAGCCGTCGGCGCTCACTGGAAACCAGGAGACAGGATTTTATGAGGTCCCACGCTGGGTGTCGTGAATGGATGCAGATCGCGCTGATGCCAGGTTATTCCAAGAAATACGGAAGCGAAGATCGCGGATTTCGATACCGGTTTCACGTATTATCTGAATGGTTGGTCGGTTTCGCGTTTTTCTCGCACTACTCAGTCAGAGCGAGCTAAACAAGCATACATCTGTTCTGAGATATCGTTTCTCGAAATACCGGAACGCGTCATTCGTTAAAGTCAACGCTACACATTTCCTGCGCGACCATCGCGACAAGTGTGACCAGAGCTCTTCTAGGATTGAGAGCTTTCTTGGGCAGCACGTCATCCCGTAGTCAATGACGCGCTGGTTCGAGATTGACTGACGACGAATGATCACTCGCAATATTCGACCCTGAGACGCTGTTGACCAGGACAGGTCCGACCGTATGCGCTTCGGAGGATGTCGCTCAAGTATCCTTTACTCTCCGAAAGCTTGTCATTGATCGCGAAAATTCCGTCCCCCGCCATTGATGCGTTACGTTCCAGGTTTCCCGCACGGTATACGACTCTATGTCAAGCCGTATATCTCTGGAGTTGGTATGTTCCCGAGCACCTCATCGCGAGTGACATTCTCCGATTGTCATAGTCTCATTCAGCCCGGGAACGCCTGATGAATAGGGAGAGCCGGGGCATTACTCTCGGCAGGAAGTTCCCTGAAGTCTCACGGCTACGGTTGACCGAGGCGGCGAACCGGCGGACTTCACATCCTCGCCCCGATTCTCTGTTCTCGCCGATGGGCAAGGCCACCGTGATCTCTAAGACACGCGGCTCGCGGCTCTGAAACTCAGTGGCTATCGGTTGTTGTTATCGCCAGTTTCCCTCGTGTATCTCGCGCGACATAGTAAGCTCATAGGCGCCATGGGTAAGCACTGGAGAAGACCACTCACTCAGATGTACAAGATCAACTACAACTTCGGTCAATCGCTCTACTCCAATTGTCTCGACGAAATCGACCGCAAAAGCAACAACCGTCTGAGCGGAGTCTACGACACGAGCCGTCCGACGACGTCGGAGCGCGCGGTTCGGACCGCGAGCCAGCTCATGTCTGACCTGGAAGCCGAGGGTGAAGCCTTCGTCGCGGATCAGAAGCACAGTAAGTCATCGTCGATCCCTGCCGCAGATTTCCGTTGAACTTTCTCGGGGCGCGAACTCGAGTCTTCCGCGAGTACCTGTGACGTAGTGGTCGGATGTGGCCGCGAGGCTAAGTCTAGAGACGAACTGTCTGTGATGTGCGGTCGATGCGCTCGAAGACCTCGCCGAGGAGGCCAAGAGAATAAGTTTATCTTCTTCGGCAGACTCACAGCAAGCTGTGACGCAGCGCAACGTCTAAATAAATCCTCGATCAGTGAGCGATTTCCTATATATACGTAAGTCCTCATCCCCGCAGAAGTGTCCAAAGAGCTGGAGATAAACTTCTGACTGCGCAAATAATCCAACGGCCGTTCCGCGTAATCTCCTGCTTCCTCACTTGCTTTCCCAAGTGTGCTCATTTTCTGTTTGGTTTCATGAGCTCCGAGCCCTCGGACGTTTTTCTCGCCTTTTTTCCGGCGATATTTTCGCCCCGCTTCAGAGTCCTTGTGCTAAAGCGAGGATGTTCGGAGCGCTCTGCTCAGTGTCGGCGGGTTACCATCTCTCGGCTGATCGTCGTCCGATCGATGGCGTGAGTTGGGGCTTTCAGAGGCATGAGGAATTCTAGTACCTATGATACTATGATCACACGTCCGGCCTCGCTTCGATCGGAGCTGCAGCCGAGGGAATATCTTTCGGGTCATAACCCGCCATCAAGTACTCGACGTTGACACCGGTGGTGTTTTCACCTGACCGGGGAAATCGCCCTCTTCGGCTCGGAACACTCAGATGCGGATCGCACGAGATATTTATGTACTCCGCTCATCTAGATTTAGATACACTCGATCGGGCCGACACAATGTCAGACTACCTGCTGTGATTTTCTGAGCTACCGTCGTCCTCTGCTCGTTCGAAGCGGCAGGTCTTTAGTTCGACCTTCGCTTGGCCCACTGGCCCGTCAAGAGTTGCTCACTCTAGTATGTCGTTTTCTGATCTCGGTCAGCCCGCGAGGAAAGCTCTGGCCGGACGGAGGCATTCTGTCCGAGAATAGATTCACCCGCGAGTAGATCACTCGTTTCAATCACTCATCGGGATCGAGCGCTGTCCCGGTCGGGGACGGCAATTCAAATCATCGGCTTGTGTGGTGCTTCGACGAACTCTGTCTGATTTCCAAAACCGGGCAGATTCTGGGAGTCCTCTCGGTTCTCTGGGGGCATTTGGAGATCGTCTCAACATTCATTCCTGTATTCCAGCCGACGAGCTGATCGCCAAATCGATGATCCAGGTCCAGAACCGTCGAAGGAACATCATGAGATCCATCGAAGTCTAAATTTCTGCGGATAATGGAGAGACACGGAGCCTTCCATCGCCAGTTATTATCCATTATCCATCCTCGTTTGATGAGAGCACGAGGAAGACGTCAGCCTATCCTGCGTCGAGGTTCATGAGCACTTCAACCATCACGACCGAGAAACGAGAATGAAGTGGCATTAATCTCGACATTGATACCGGGCGCGAAATCGGTGTCAAGGATGGAAATGCAAAAATATACAGACCTGAGTTAGAGAGTGAGTTTTTGTAGCGAGGCTCGTCGTCTTCGAGGGACGATGCAAATTTGCTTGGAAAATGCTCGAGGGTTTGTATATACCGTGTAAATAGTAAACGGAGGAATCCGGAGCTTCACACCAAGGATTCAATAAACGTGGTTTGACATCGGACCCTCTCTGTTTGACTTTTCTTTCTGGTCGTGTGAATTTGTGGCGATCACCCTAAGGAGGAAGGAGGATTGGAACGAATGTCGACGATGTCTAAGCCAGATTCTGAGAAAAGTTGCATCAACGACTGGAAACTGTCCTCAAGTTGAGCAACCACCAACACTTCCAGTGAGGGATACATCCACACAGATGGAAATGAACTCGAGCCTTCCTCGAGCTAGAGAGAAATCCGTTCTTTCGCGGCGCATTTCACGAGCCTCCCGCTGAAGGCTCCTGTCTCATTCAGCAAGATTGGTCGGCATCCAGGGCCAATATCCGGTTGGGCTGAGGACTCCGCGGTTGCCGGCGATATTCGGTGGTCCTGATACGAACTCATTCGAAACACTTCAAGCGGTTATCGATTGATCGAGCGCCTCGAGAAACACCCTGATAAGATTTTCGATTTCTCCGCCGGAAAGATCCCGCATCTGCGTGAATACTGATTAATTACTCGGCAAGTTGTTTTCGAATTCACAAGTGCGCCCAGTAAGAGAATTGCGTCTTCCACTCATCATGACATCATAGGCCATGACCGCGTGAGACGATGAAAAAAGAGAGAATCATCCTTTAAGGCTTATGGATCTTATTCATGAGGGAGGATGAACAAAATGGAAATAAGTTCTCCGCGGTGAAGCAGAGCGCTGCCGATGAGATCAGCGTCGGCGACGAGGCCTCGATCACGGTGCACATCGGGTCCAAAAGTGAAACCGCAGAGCAGAGAAGAACATAGTGCTTAATCCGACGCTTTATGCCGACAGTAGCTCTCTACCACTCTCGATCGAGAGGACACTTGGAGACCGTGAAAGCCCGCCCTCCAAAATGACGCATCCCCTACTATTACTGAATCGCTGCAACCTTGGAATCCCTCTTCAGACCTCAAGGAGAACACGCGGATTATCGAGAATGAATCTTTCTGGTCGACAAGGACGCTCCGGAAAGTCCACTTCGCTGCGCCGAGTTTGCCAAGTTCACATTTTCCTCTATGGGAGGGAACTCTTCCGACGTCAGTGGCAACTAAGCGTGAAACAACGATTCTAGGCGTTTCTGGCATCACACGGCGGAAACAGCAGATCGAAGCGAATTCCCTCGACTCCGCCATCTTCTTCACCTCTCGGGCTGTCTGAGCTTCTGATCGGAATCTTCTTGAGGCTCGAAGTCGATAACTCGCAGCCCACATCACCACGGCAGGGTTAGGAAGTCTTCTGGGAAAATAAGCTTCTATTCTGGACACATCTCGTTTTCGTCAAAGGCGTAGTTCCACGATTCACGTCACACGGTATCAGTTTCCGCTGGCATCGTCTTGAGCACTTCACTACCTAGATAGTATCCGGCATCACGCGCGAAGAAGAGGAAAAGGCTTTCCTTCGCCGTACCCATTGAATCTTGAGCTAGTGCGCAGACAGCCTGAAGCTCTTGCATGATGAGTCATGATTGATAATCGATGAGCGTGAATAGAGGCATCCTTCCGATGGGATCCGCTCCTATCCAGGGGAGCTATTCCGGGTTCTTGTTTTTTTCAAGCACTCGGAGGCTCAAGATCCTCCATGGAGTCATACTTGGCGACACTCAGAGGATTCGCTTCGCGACATTCACCGGGAAGCTAAGCATTGCGTGGATTCGATTCTAGTGACGTCCACAGCTCGAAAACGGTAGCGGCTCGAAATCCGAACAAACACGATTCCGCAGCAGTAAACCGCGAAATATTCTATCGCCGAGAGTTGCTGCATAGACGGGTAAGCAGACCGCGCGTTGCATCTCTTGATGAACCTAGAGCGAGTCAGGCCTGGAACGAAAATTTTCGAAACCGCATTCCGTAAAACAAACAAAGCGAAGCTCTTCCAACGGTGTTTGTTAACACGGGCACATTAATTCCGGCGAGCCATGAGATCCCGCTGTGAAAATTTTGAATCGTCGTCCATCTCCCCGATTCGAGGCAGTGCTGGAAGAACGCCCCTTCTCTCGCTGGGAAGAGATAACTTCAGTTCACCCCGAAGCAAATCGAATCCTTCCATCAGTGAGTGAGAGGAGTTTCGGAAAAGTCGCGGGCAGCTTTCCACGAGCCACCACGTGTAGACGGAGTCGAAAGACCAGTTTTGAATTCCAATGGACTGCGGAGGAAATTGTTTTACGATCATTGAAGTGTTTCCGGAAAGAATACCGTTCCGTGAGCGTGGGCTTCCATTGGATTTTCCCTTGTCGTACAATTTGACCTCTCCGAAGAGCATCGACGAGGAGTCACCTCACTATGGAAATCCAAACCGAAGTCCAGGTTTTCACTCGACTCGAGATGATCCCATCGGCGTCCCGGCTGTCAGCGGCGAGTTTACGAGGGAGGGGCGATATCCGCACGTCTGATGCCATCAGACGAATTTGAACTCGCTCGCTGAACTCAACCAGCTAGAGATCTCCACGAACGCATCCAGATGACGCTCACCGCATGCGGCGGGAAACCACGCGCCTGGTCGAGTGCGAGAGTCAAAAAGGAGCTTGCTCGCTGTGGTCAATGAGTGCTCCTTATTTGATCGTTATTTTCGGTCGCGATCAAGACTCCGTGGTATTGTCTCCGGGCGTCGTGTGATTGCTCAAGATCTTCCCCTTATCACTAGCTCCCGATGACGAGCAGCATGGCTTTCGCATCCTTGATGCAGCCCCGAAAAGGTCAATATCGGGTATTTATTGCTCTATAGATTTCGATTTTCTCTTCGGAAACCCTTGATTCCAGGAGGATATTCGATAATGGCACGAAATAGGACACTCGGCGCAGACGAAACAATCAGACCGAGGCTGTTGTGTCCTAGCACCGATCAGCTGTTCAGTGCTGGGCACTGGTCTCCAGGTGTCTCCATCCCAGCCAGATGATCTCGTGTCAACTGTCGCAAAGCAAGGTGAGATGAACGAGCCATTCCGATTCGTCCTTTGCTGGATAATTAATTTACTGTCAGGAGAATAAGAGTCCGAATGAAGGTTATTCGGCGGTTTCCGCGCTTAGGGTATGGCAAGACTATGGATTTCACAAGTCCGTAATTAGTTGCTTAATCCGTTGGCTGCCGTTCAGTTCATCGATTTTGCTGGTGACGATCTTCGTAATGGGGCATGCAATGTCGGGGACTGTAATAAAAATGCAACGGAAATAATCGTGGGAAACAAACACGAGCGGATCGACACGACCGAGATATGGTATATCTCCGACGAGGAGAAAAGACAGCTGTGGACAGATCTCAATACGTATGAGCGACAAGTGGAGCCGCAAGAACGAAAAGCCGATAAGGTCACAACTGCTATCGAATCAGTCGTGAACAAGCTACATTATATGATCAAGCTGGACGTGGTAACAAAATCTTCTTTCTAAATTTATCACGCATGCTCGCCGTATCGCTCCCGACGTCTAGATGTAACGTGACCCCACAAAGGTTTCACGGCTTCCGTGCCGAGATCGTTGACTGTCCATCGTAATCTGGACTCTGGAACGAAGTCTTGCCAATTTTTTTTCGTCTGCCTCTTTTATCGTTGTATTTCTCTATCCATGCCAGAACTGTACCACGAGGTCGGGCTCAGTTATTCCACCTGTCCTCGCGCTAACGCGCGCCTAATCCTCTCATTCAACTCCCTGCTCGGTCTGCGATTTCGGATTCGTCGCCTAGGTACAGGTCAACTGGTCCCGCAGCTCACGCTCGTGCCTGGAAGAACAGAAACCCGTGACGGTTGGTCTGCCCCCCGTTCCAAATGCTCAAAAAAACGGCGAGAATTTTGGCTCCCGATGAGCTCGCAGGATTCCCAGGTCTATTCGATATCAATCCGTGTTTATCTGTCTGTGCGTCAGCGCGTCCACCACCTAAAGGATAAACAAGTCCAGATCGGACGACAGTCACTTGCGCAACTCCGCCGTGTCTCATGTCCAGGCAAAGGGACGGACCGAATGGCACGCTGCTTAATCGAGCGGCTTTTCGTCAGTTGACGGTAGTTGGATTCGGTCCCTACCGGCGCGACCCGCGGAAAGACCATCCCATGGAGCGACGGACCGACACTCAATCCCTCTTTCCCTTCTCTCGTCCCTTTCCAGCTCCCGAACAAATCACCGTCCACATGCTAAACGGCACGCTGTCATATGTTCGTCTCGTACACTTTCGGTCAAATACGTGCACATGAACAACAAACTTGTTGAGCTGTCCGAAGATCTACAGTTCGATCATCAGCGGGAGACGATCGTGCCCTGTTCACTCAGCTCGTGAGCGACGGATCAGCCCGCGAAGGAGCCGGCGAAGCTACTGAGCGACTTCTTCTCTGTCCCGAGCACGAGTTGACGTCTCGAGCTGTGGAACGTGACCGTCTCGTTTGACCCATCGGAAGGAGTTGTTGTCTTCATCTCGACGCCCCTGAGTGTTTCTCTCTGAGACGAGTGAGTCCGAACACACTCTAGCGAAGAATGGATCTCCCCGCGACGACGCTGTTACCGCCGCTCGAGAGCATTGCGAGCGCGGTCGACACGTCCACTAACATGTGGATTTTGATCGTGGGTTTCGTGGTCGCTTTCTTCCTGGCGTTCGGTGTCGGAGCCAACGACGTCGCGAATTCTTTC